GAATATAAAAAATATTTTTTAAGTGGGTTGCCACTTGTTAAAAAAAAAAAATTTTAACTGAAAAAAAAAATTTGTAATTATGCTTTCAAGCTGAAGAGGTTGCCGACTACTTTCTACCGATAATGTTTTTTGAGAATGTGGCCACCTCATTGAAATTTTCGTATTAGTTTATAGGTTAATAGAATTTTATAAAATATATAAGAAATCAAAGACTTTTAAAAAAACTAAATGTAGAAAATATTTTTTATGCGGGTTGCCATCTATGTATTTTTTAAATTTATTTTCATTTTATTGGTAAAATACAAAATTTTAAATAGTGATTTTAAGCGAAAGAGGTATAAGAATACTTTCAGCCGATAATCTTTTTTAAGAATGTGGCCACCTGTTTAAATTTTGATTAAAGTATTTATAATTTACAGGCAAATTTTTGAATGGGTTACAAAACTAACGAAATTTAAGGAAACTGCATTTCGAAAATATTTAATAGTGTTGCCACCTATTTAAATTGTCCGTCATTTATTTAGGAATGAAATTTCACAAATCGCATACAAACTATATTTTTACAAATAGTTGAATATATGTGTTTTTTAAATTATTAAGACATTCAATGGTGTGTTTCAAGGACTGAATTTATTGAGAAACTCGCGAATAAAGCAAAAAAAAAAAAAAAAGAATATAAAAAATATTTTTTAAGTGGGTTGCCACTTGTTAAAAAAAAAAAATTTTAACTGAAAAAAAAAATTTGTAATTATGCTTTCAAGCTGAAGAGGTTGCCGACTACTTTCTACCGATAATGTTTTTTGAGAATGTGGCCACCTCATTGAAATTTTCGTATTAGTTTATAGGTTAATAGAATTTTATAAAATATATAAGAAATCAAAGACTTTTAAAAAAACTAAATGTAGAAAATATTTTTTATGCGGGTTGCCATCTATGTATTTTTTAAATTTATTTTCATTTTATTGGTAAAATACAAAATTTTAAATAGTGATTTTAAGCGAAAGAGGTATAAGAATACTTTCAGCCGATAATCTTTTTTAAGAATGTGGCCACCTGTTTAAATTTTGATTAAAGTATTTATAATTTACAGGCAAATTTTTGAATGGGTTACAAAACTAACGAAATTTAAGGAAACTGCATTTCGAAAATATTTAATAGTGTTGCCACCTATTTAAATTGTCCGTCATTTATTTAGGAATGAAATTTCACAAATCGCATACAAACTATATTTTTACAAATAGTTGAATATATGTGTTTTTTAAATTATTAAGACATTCAATGGTGTGTTTCAAGGACTGAATTTATTGAGAAACTCGCGAATAAAGCAAAAAAAAAAAAAACCAATAACAAAAAAATAAATTAAATAACAAAAAAACATACATTCACCAGTGATTTAATATTATTTTTGTTTTGTCTACATAAACAAATGGCTTCATCGGCCAATTTTTAGTTCAATAATAGAAAAGATTAAAGCACGAAGCGACGCGTAAAACGATTTATGACACAATAAACGCAATTCCAAATATAACCAAAAAAAAACAAAAAATAGACACAAAAATAAATGCTAAAAAAATAAATATTGCTAAATATATGTACACTTATTTATACTTAACCGTTATATATGAAACAAATGTAATAAATGTATGATAAACAAACAGTAGAGTGAATAAGAGAGAGAGAGAGAGAGAGAGAGAGAGAGAGAGCGGGCGAGCGAGCATAAAACGTACACATTCCACATGTTCCACATGAGACCACATTCCATATGAGTTGTTTTTGTATTTTCTTGTCTCCAATACACATGTTGCCAATGGCGCGCGTACAACGTTGGTGAATTTGCTTATTATGAAAATATGTATTATTTATGTTACTAGAAAGTTAATTAATTTTTATTTTTTGACTGAAATATTTGCTTGCTATAAAAATGTACGGGAGACACTGTTATATGACGCTTTAGTTGTATTTATGTTTTCCCACAACCGCACAAGTGATTAGATATGGTATTAATTAAGAAACAATGTGTCCATTAACCGAGTGAGTATAGCCAAAAAAGTGATCTTTTTTATAATTTTTTTTTTTGTGAAAATTCAAATTTTTTAAACTAATTTTTTTAACTTTTTTTTTTTTTTCTTTAGCAAATTTTTTTTTGATAAAATATTTTTTAACAAAAAATTAATGAAACGCTATTATTAAAATCATTAAAGGGCGCATGTTTTATTAATTTTGCATAAGTGTTATATTAAATAAGGTAATTAAAATTTTAAATAAACTGTTTTACCAAATAAAATTAGGAAAGCTATTTTTTTAAATCAAACAGAGTTTATTGTATGCATTTTAACATTTTTTAAAAAGAAAGAATTTTTTCGTACAACAACAGCAACAAAACAAGAACAATAACAATAATTCACACACCATACAAACTCACCTAAGGAAATTCTCGTTCTCCTCGTTCAACTTGTCGGCATCCTTCGATTTGTAGCGCATCAAACGCTCCAGCAGGCAGCGATTCTCGTCCTGCAGGGAAATAGAAATACGTTTAGTAAACACCTTACGCATTTTGCTTAGCACTGTTTGCAAATTTTTAAGCTTAATCAATATAAAATTAATTTTTTTTAAATATTGCAATTTTTTTATTTTTTCCAGCTGCGTTTATAACAACACCACTAGTAATTAAAAAAAAAAATTTTTTTGAATATAGCACAATTTTTTTTAACACTCTCTAGCAAGTTAGATACAGATTAAACACTAATAAAAAAAAATTTTATATTCGAAAATAATCCGTGAAAAGTGTGAAAACGCGTCGTAGGCGAGTACAATACGAAAACGAACGAATAGCAGCGGAAAAGCTAACTGTCAGGCCATGGCTACTAACCAAACAGCTGGAGGCATCGAGAGGCACGACCAAAATACACACACACACACACATACACTGAAATACATGAAACAATTCTAGAGCGTGCAAGTGAAAAATCTAACGGAAAATGTGCTAACTAAGTCCATTCACACATACACATACATATACATCTGTCTGTATGTGTATATATGTATGTGCGTAGAGTGTTGTTGACATGACGCATGGTGTCCCGGTGACTTGGTTGGTCAGTGGATAGCTGGTCAATTGGTTAAGAAATTGTTTATTTTGCCATTGAGCGCCATTTAACAGCTGATAGACCCCGCGGTCAGGCTATACTAGGTATGCTTGTATTAAAATATGCGAAAGCCTGCGCAGTTCAAGATATGTTTATATGTAAAAATGTATCGAAAGCTACACTTTGCACATGTGTGGGCGCGGTTGTGCGTGAGTGTAAATAATTCGACGATACGCAACAAAGGTTTGATAAGTCCATTTAATTAACAAATGCTGGTAAAAATAGGTGTGTTCCCCAGCGAATGTGGGATAAGCAGCGAATGAGATTTTTTATTTCACTTTCAACCCTAACCTAATTCGATCAATAGCTGACGAGTTATACCGTGTCACGCAAATAAATAAATATACAAAATAAAATTAAAATAAATAAAACAGTAGAACAGTAAAAGCAAATGCAAAAAAATAAAACAAATTAAATCTTGTGGAAACTAAATTACGCAGCACGTGTCTTTGCCAAAGCAGCATGCTACAATAAGGATTATGAGTGAGTAATAAGCTGTCATATATACTTGTAATCGATTTGTTTTATCTTATATATCGAATGTAAATATATTTGAAAATGTTCTCGAAAAATTTGAAGTTGCGGCTCTGAAAACATTTTAAACGCGTTCTTCTCGAAACGCTTGAAATTTTCACACAACATAGATAGGGAAATAAGATTCTTGATAATATTTTTTTTTGTTTTTTTAAGCCTCTCTGAAGTGTAAATTTTTTTTCCAAAAACGAAATTTTTTTTGGAAACCATTTTTTTTTTCAAAGAGGTAAAGATTGTTTGATGTTTGGGCTTGAGCTAATTTTAAGTAAATAGAAAAACTTCCTCACGCCAAACACCCTTTTCGGAGGGCCTCTAGAAATCAGCAATGCGATCAAAGAAATCCAAAATTTTTTAAAATGAATCGCCGATTTTTAAAGTATTGTACATTAAATTTTGAAAATGTACATTATTTTTATTTATTTATAAAAAAAATATATTTGAAAATAAATAAAATAAAAAAATTGTTTCTGACTGACAAGTCTTATTAAATTTTTCGAGTATTTCGGTTAAATACTGTTCAATATTTTGTTCTTTGGAACCCCAGTGTGACGGTAAATTAACAATAAATCGAAGAATATGTAATTAACTACCTAATTTTATATAATTCTATCAACACTTTTTGAGAACGAAAAATCTCGTGTGATTTTCGGTTCAATGCCAAACTCTAAAACTATGGTAAACCCATTAATTAATTAATAAATTTGTGTTCAATTCAAAACATTTTATTAGCTTGTCCATTAAAAAAATTAATCATACATGTTTCGGGTCAGAAAGACAACGCGATACTCTTGATGAGTTAATTAAATATAATATTGTTTTTATATTTTTATATTCGAAAACTTATTGCTGATCACAATCACCGATGATATAAAAAAATATTTTTCGTTTAGTTGTAAAACTTTCGGGTCAGTATGGCTCAGCGGCACCGCCGTCGCATTAAAGTAGGTATTAATTAAAAACATTATGACTTCCACCGTAATTTTGCTAACAAGAACATTTGTTGATATATTTTAGTGCCAAAAACTATAATTTTAAAACTCGAAAAAATAATAATATTTCGAAATTCGAAAAAATTATGTTAATCTCTTTTAATTTATTTTTTATAATAACAAAAATATCGCACATCGGTTGTCTACTGTCACTTAGGGAATTTTATTAGGTATATAAATTTAGTAGATAAATTTTCGCTACTTAAAATTCATTCAAAAACAAACTCGATTAAATCAGTCACTCATATGTGTGTTCGGCGACCATATACTCAGTAAATATGTATTAAGGTATATAGAATCAAAATAAAACTGCGAAAAGAATTTAAAAATAATACAGAGCAGCGAAAGCAATACAAATGCATCAACACTCTTTAGTAGAAGAAAGTGAAGAGCTGCAAAATCGCGTGCTGGACATTGATGAGTTTCGGATCGTTAGCTGGGTCGTTATACAGCACTCAATGCGTTGGCTCTGAAAGCCCTATAAATTTATAGTGACGTGCAGAAATAAATTAAAACACATTTACACACACATATATATATGTTTATTATATAGTATAGTGTGGCAAGGCACACATACCTACATAGCTATGTCTATGTGTTTTTGATAGGTGTTATATACGCAAACCTCATCCACACCATTGGCTGTCTAACTGTAAACGTATGGTTTTTATTCATAGTTGTGGCATCAATTTTCAATGTCAAGCAAATACAGTAAAATGAAAAGTAAGTTTGACACCAGAGAGAAATTATTATTTTCCTATACACTTAACACATTGGTTGTTATGTATTTAGGCGCACACATACGTAGTATGAATTATATACAATTATATGCAAAATATTAAATTATGGTGTAAAAAACACTAATTGTGTAACTAGCACATATTGGACCACTTGCAACAAATTTATAAATTTTTAAAAATATTTCTCAAACAACCATCTGCAATAGATATTACAAGTCCCTACGTTTAATTTGAATTCAAATAAAAGTCTCAGTGAGTGCACAAGCTCTCAATTTGCTCAAAGGGGTATTGTTTGAAATGTCGCAAATATTAAATCTTGAGCGTAAATTTACTTATTAATTAAAATGTATGACTATAATTTAGTGCAACCGCGTGAATTGGAATTTATCCAATCTCATCATCAGCAAGTGGGAACGAAAGCGCAAAATTTTATTTTTATCAAGCATTAGGGTGGCTCACTAATTTTTTAAAGAATAGTACAAAAATGAGCTTTTATTAGTTTTTCATTCGAACAATATTTAGGGTATTCACAAGGAGTCATATTGTGTCATATCGTCATATTGTCTTATTTTTTTATGACTTTCATATCAACACTGTTGTTGTTTCCCATACAAAATTGAAATACGACAAATACAACACGGCAAGGCATGTTTTTTGAGTGTGCTATTTTAACAGCAGTATCTGTTTACTTTTTTTTATTGTTGACGTTTAAGTGTCTAAAATTAATAAATTTCCTCAATTTCTATAATAATATGAAAGGAAGCCACCATATCCAGGTAAATTAAGTTGAAGGAAAGTGAAATATAAAAATATTGTGTTGTTTCCGTTTCAACATAAAGAAAGCTTTCACATAAAGAAGCTTTAATTTTATATTTGTCACGTTCTCATAACATTTTTGTATTCTTAATTTTTCACTACCAGCTGGTGAAATATAGTAATTTTACACAATATGACTTAAGGAGTGCTCACAAGTGTCGTATTTTTTAAGACTATTGAAATAAGACCTAAGACATTAGACAAAATTGAATGTGAATTGTAAATACTTTTTTTAAACTAAATTATACATGCTTGTAAATTGTTAAATTTTTGGCTAATTTAAGAAAATTTTATAATTAACTTCACCTCCTCGACCCGCACTAATATGCATACAAAGTCTTTAATTTATTGGCCTAAGATTAATTTTTAGCGAGTATAGCACATTCTTTCCAAGAATGTAGAATTCATTTACATAAGATTTATACAAAAATTATAAAAATTTAAATATTTTCTTGCAGTTATCAACTCTATGCCTTGGCTGCTGCTTCTCTAACCATAAACATGCGTTCTCATTGAGCGTGTTTTTTAATTCAATTTTTCTCAAGTATTATATAATATATTCGAGCAATCAATTGTAATAAAATTAGCATAAAGCGAATATAATTAGCAGATAAGCTGTCGCTCGAACCAGTTTTTTAATTATGTAATCGAAATGTATTTGATGTAGCTATGAGGAAGCTTATAAAATATAGCTGGTTTTAGCATTTCTACAGAGTGTGTTCACTTTTCTCCATTGTGATGTCAGTCGTTGGGATAGCGTCAGCCTAATTGCATTGTGGAATCATCAGCGTGAAAACTAGCTGCTTTGCCGGCAGAATGTGAAATAAATTAGAAAGCTTATGGGTCTAAATGCCTAGTAGAAAAATATCTATGCACATAAATACGTACCATATGTATGTATGTATGTATAGTTATAACAAATATATTGTTCTACATATACATAATTGAATGCCAAAACTATTTACTCACTTATAAGAATTGAGTGCTAGCTGCTAATTGGCATTAGATATACGCGCTTATAGAGAGGTATAAATAGGTGGTTCAGATGAAATTTATAAAAATTAGCAAAATAAAAAAAAATAAAAAAATCGATAATAATGAAGTCAATTATCAACTGACAGCCAGTTTTTCAACTAGTATGGAAGTAGCTACGCAGAATGTATACAATTAGAAATTTATTAAAGCGGCAAACCTAGTCTAAAATTAAAACATTAAAACAAAAAAAAAAATTTTTTTTTATTTCGATTGATTATACTTAAAAAAATAATATACTAAAATTTTAAATCAATATCTCTAATAGTTTTTCAATCACCGCCTTCTAAGGTCTGATCAAAAATCGAATTTTGGCAGACTTCAAACGATCAAAATTTTGGGTAAAAATTCAAATTTTTTCTAAAACGATATTTGCTGGTTTTTGAATTTTTTTTTACCGTACGTCATTGTACGGACAATATCCCTCAGTAGAGTATTCTTTTTAGGTTTTATGCACGGAAAAGGCCAAAATCACTGTAGCAGTGGAGGACATTTGTTTAGCGCCGTCATAGATCGTGTGTAGCTCGAAAAAAATATCTTTTTTGTTGAAAAATTTTACTCTTAAAATATGTATAAATACGCTCTTAAAATTTTAATACAACTTATACAGTATTTTTTAATCACGAAAATCGCTTTATTTTAAGCTGTCACACCAGTTGCTGCCCCAAAAATGCCGCTTTTGGTACAAAGGCATAAAAAAACTGCAATTTTATTACTGACAAGTAAGCTCCGTAGGTTAAGTAAAAAAAATGGCTATCCAAATTGCCTTAGACACTCACTTAATTTTTTTGTGCCACCCTGTATATTTTTTTGTTTTCGTATTTCCTATAAAATTGCGTACATAAGCACTTATGCAGCAAAGCAATTTTTCCGCCTGCGACAGTTGATTTGCCTTGGTGGCAATAACCAATTTACGAAAACGCATGTTCAACATATGTACTTGAGTATGTATGTATGAGTATCGTATGTATATGTGAGTAAAAAAAAATCAAACTCAGCAAAACGATAATTCATTCATAACTTTATTAGCAGGTGGTTATTGATTTGACATGATGGCGGATCGCATACGGAAGAAAGTGGCAGCGCAACAACTACAACTAGTTCATTGACCGGCCCAAATCAGCTGTACGGTGTTAATTAAAAATTCCAAGCCAAACAATAAATGTGCAAAAGAAGTGCGTAAACATAAATGTATAAATATGTATGAACAAACATAAATTCACATGCATAAACATAAAATATAGTTAATGTGAGGGTAAGCATATATGTACATATGTAAGTTTTTACGTATAATTGAAAGCATGTAAAAATAATATGCATATACATTTATACCCTGAACAGGGTGTACTAAGTTGAAGACTCTATAAAATCTATATATAAGTGATCAACGTGATGAGCTGAGTCGATTTAGCTATGTCCGTCTGTCTGTATATACGCGAACTAGTCCATCATTTTATGAGATATCGATGTGAAATTTTGCACACGTTCTCTTTTGTCTCTCTTTTGTTTTCATTTGTCGGAACCACCGATATTGAACCACAATAGCATATAGCTGCCATACAAACTGAACGATCGGAATCATGTGCTGTGGAAAACTTTTTTATTTGACGAGAAATCTTCACAAAATTTGACACGGATTATTGTCCAAGACAACGGTAGAATCTTCATAGAAATTGTGCAGATCAGATTGCTATAGCATATAGCTGCCATACAAACTGGCCGATCAAAATTAAGAAAAAGGTCTTTTTATACCCTTTTCTGCTGTAAGTTTAATCTACATTCGCAGTTTAGTAATTAACATAACAGTAATATACATATGTATGTATGTATGTACAAAAATGTATACGCGTTAATTGATCGCAATAATTGCACGAGCAGCAACAAATATTAATTCGTACAATTTGTTTTAATTAAAATGCCCAAAACATATTAGGTTCTTTAACCGCTAGGTTCAAAGCTTGACTTGGATAAAGCACTGATTGCAAATAAAAGGCCGTCCCATGACAATTGGCTCTAGGACATTGAAACGGATTCGTATATATATTGTATAGTCTTTAAACTATTTTATGATTTTTTCAAACGCTACAACAACAACAACAACAACATCAGCTAACAAAAATCTCTAAAGCTACATTTTAAAAATTTTAAAACCTAACCTCAAAGTGTTTTAAGTGTAAATATTGTATGAAAATCACTTCATCATAGCTTTTTGATATACATATTGATAACGGTTTAGAACTGAATTAAAGATTAATTGATCGAAATCTTTAGAACTAACTTGGAAATCAGTTTTTCAAAACTGCTTTTAAACATATATTGTAATATTTTTGAGGTTATTCTCTGAAAGCAATCATTAGTAGATCGAATATTAATTTTAAAAACTTGTAATTAAACTTTTCCAATTTTATTTTTTTTTTTGAAGAGTGATTATAATATTTTGAGGTTATTTTCTGAAGCAGGCGTTATTGGAATGAAAACTTTCAAAATTTTATAAGAATATCATTTGAGGTTATGTTAATAATTAGTTTCTCAGCTTATTTTGCTGGAATACTTCATATAGACAGCCTTTATTAATTCATATCCAATAATAAATGCTATAGTGGCAAAAACAATGAACAAAACTACTTCAGAGAGCATTTTGCATTACAACAAAAGCAACTATAAGATTTAAGATTTACATACATATGTATGTATGTGTCTTACTTTTTTTGTATTATTTTTTAACTAACTATGTATATTAACATTGAAATAATACGCATTATATTCCAATTTACGTTTTTTGAAACTTTGTTTTCGACCGTTTTCTTTAAAGTTCACGACGGCACTAGATGTATGCAAATGAAGAGCTATCGCACAAATCCACAGCACATCAGTCATTAGATACCAACACGATTACGAGATAAACGTATGCATAAACGAAAAAATATTAATCAACGACAAAAGCAAGCAGGTCATACACTACAAGCGCCAAATAATTTTCTGTTTTGATATAGAGATTATGCTTTCGATATCATTGCTTATTAATTTAACGTTATGTATACGTAAATGAAAATAACGAAATACATACATACATGCAGACAAATAAATGGTGATATTTTATCAGCTGGTAGCCAAGTGCGCCCATTGTAAATGAACAACAAAGTGAAAGCGTCAAAGCATATCTAACAACAAAATATGCATACGGCGTTTAAATATATATATATACGTACGTATTTATAGATATCTTATCAATTGCGAAGCGCGGGTTATTAAAAACTCATAAATAAATAACAATGAGTAGAAATAACAAGCAGACGCTGCTACTTAATGAGCTGCAGAAGGTGCACAATTAAGCAGACTTGTTAAACAAAAATTAAATAACATACATACATACACACATGTGTGTGCTCCATGTACATGCATAGTTATTATAATTTAATTATTGAAAACTCAATTTATCACAACCATATCGGTTATGAAAATGTATGTATTTGCTAATGACTCAACTAATAAATGCAATAATCACTTTTATGCGCGTATGAGAGAAATACAAATTTTTAAATGCAGCATTTGCGCTAAGCAATCGCATACTTTGAATAAAATAATGTCGAAACAAGCACATATTTCACCTTTGTTAATGGCTTGTTGAGGCACTTTGATTACAGTTGTAAATAATATTAATAATATAGAATGAACGCGCATAATCTAACAGAATATTTACACTTTACTGTGATTTACAAAATATATTTTTTGAAAGAACGCAAAATTTACACACGAAATTAATATATGAAAATTACGATTTTGAAAACACGCAAAAGTAACAAAAGAAAATAAGCTTCAAAATGAAACTCGTTGAATAGGAATACAACAGAGATTAGTTGAACAAAAAAATATTGATATATTAGAAATCATAATATTCAATCATAATTTCACTTCTGATTAATTATAATTCTTATTTCATAATTATTTGCAATCAGTAAAAATATAGCTATTAATAAACATTCAACTGCTCAAGCGAAAGTATGTACATAGCTGTTATGAATCACACAGTTATTTACAGAAAAAGCGTTTTAAGCGTTGCTTAAATTTGCATACATATTTACTTAGATGTATTTAAATTAGCAATTTCGTTACCCTACTGCTGCTCAGGATATTTTGCCGCTTTTGTGGAATTATTATAAACATTATTTGCAGCGAGCAAATAGAATGAAGTAATTCGATCTTCATGCCTATAAATTTGCGTTTATAACATAGGCAGTCGCTCGCAAACACCTAGGCTGCCTTACGCACTGACGTTTGCTGCACTGCGGTACTCACCTGCACGCCACGCAGTTTTTCCTCCAAAGAGCTGAACGCCAATTGGAGCGCAGTATGCTCATCTAGCAATGTCGTATTGAGTTTCTTTAACTGATCCAAGCTGGATTTCAACATTTCAACTTCTGCGCGTAATGAATTATTGGCCGCTCGTTGTTCGTTAATACTGTAAAATAAGCACACAAACACAAACATTTTAGACAAATTTGTTTTCTACCTTTTATGGGGGGTAATATAAGTGGTTAGATATATCATAAAATTAGTTACAAATTCGCACATTAGATCTTTTTCCGCTATGAGCTTTTTCTGTTTCTCCACGCTGACATTTAAGTCGACAATCATCTGAGAATTTTCGCCTTTACGTTTATGTAAATCAGTCAATTCTTCCTGTTGTGCCAATAGTTTCTTTTCTAGCGCTGCAATGGCCAGTTGTGCGCCAGTAGCATCTTTGCCGCCACCTGTTGAAAGAGCTGTGCGCAGTTGCTCATTTTCAACGGATATTTTTAAATTTTCTGCTTTCAGTTGAGAAGCCTGATCAATTAAACGGTTATCTGGAATAGAAAAATAAATTTTTAAAAAGCCGCCACACATATTAAATATAGCAGCAGCCAAGTGTTGTTTGTGATTGTTATCAATTTAATAGCATGTCTAATGTCCATTTGGATTTTTTGATATTTGTAAACTTTGCTCTGTCTTAATATTTATTTGCACAGATTTTACTTACTTTGCAGAATAATCTCTTTTCCTCTGGTTTCATTGCGATTTCTGTCGCGTAAGCGATTAGCAATACACTGACGCCAAATCGGCTCTTCTGTGGACATCTTTGCTTAGGTTATTGCAGTGTGGGTGGACGTATAGACACGCTTTGCCGCAATTTACATACACTTTCCAGTCACTTTTACTTATAACACTTTAATCCTTTGACTGCGTTACAGTATTGCTTTCTGACCCTTTTTCTTTTGATTGTGAAAGTTTTCCTTTGGCTTGTTCGCGCAAGCCGCATGTGTTGTTTTGTGCTGCAGACGTTTAGTCACAGAGGCAGTTGCTTCTATTCAACACAAACTTTTCGCTTATAAATATCACAAATTACAATACATTTTCAATATTGCAAGTTATGCCGTCACACAACAACCACAGCGAGTTGTAATTGCACCATATAGGATATAAATCGAAACACTCCTTTATGAAATTGATAAGAAAATTAATACAAAAAAAACTACGGAACGAAAATCACATATTTGCTAAGTTCCCAAAAATTTGTTTTGATGTCTGACAGCTGACTGGGTGCGCGATAATCGCACGCAACAGGGTTGTATCAGAGTGTACCATGTTAAGTAGAACTGCTATCAACACATTAGTGGCGAAAAATTGGTATAATTTTAAATTTGTTAATAAATTATTTTATTATAAAAATATAGTTTTATGAGTTAAGTATAAGCATAATAAATATCTACTCTAAAAAATTAATGTATACCGTAAAATATTATTTCAATACCATTAAGTTTTAACTATATGGAAACTTGTGACGAATTCACTAGGTACGGCAGCATCTATTAGTTGTCAGAAAGCATTTAACGGCATAGTTCCCGGTTCTTCCTGTACAAATCAGAAAATTACGAAATTAGTGATTGTTATTGTCATTAAGGAAATGTAAAATGAAATGGAATAAAGTGTGTGAAGTGAAAATAAGTTGAAATGCTGTAACTTGTAATGAATAAAAGCAATTTTCATTAAGTTATTGATAAAAACTTATGGTGTGAATGGCTGCGGCATTTCTTTACATTTGCGGCAGTTATAACTAATATGTCGGAAGCAATTCCTGCTACAACCAGAGTAGTATTCAGTCCACCCACAAGTAAGTTGACTTACATACATAGTAGTGGAAATTTAGTGACGGTTATGGTGACAAAAATTCTGCCATAAATACATATGTATGTGTGTGTTTGTTCCTGATGCATACAAATATATGTATGTCATTCGAAGATTAGCATGCATTTTAATTTAGTGCTGTGTAATTTATTCGGTAATAACTACATCATTTTTTAACCTCAAATAGGTTTTCGCTGAATATAAAATATTTCGAAATTAATTTTATATATAACGCTAATATCAACACATTTGTAACTTGATATAAACAAAAAATATATATATATTATATAAAAATATATATTAATATATAATATTAAAAAAAATTCAAATTTATGTTTATAGAAATTGTAAAATTTATTTATATTTGAAAATAACTTTAGGTTGTGGATATTAAATTTCATATGCATAAAAACCCATAATTTTAACTGTGATTTGATTTATAAGCCCTTTGTCTTTTCAAGAATTATCATTTACATTTATCTAATAAGTGAAAAATATTGGGTCTCTAACTATATTCCTGCCGTTTGGCAATGGATGGCGTAACTTGATAATGCAAAAATTTGCGAAAATGCACGGCAATAATTTTCCATTATAACAACGCGTGGTCTCATGTCTAAGTCCAGTTAAAAACTATTTGGAAAGCAACGTAAGTTTTGCCTCACCCGCGTTATAGCCGATACCTTGCTCCTTCTGACTACCATTAAATAACAAATAAAATAAATTGAAACTTAAAGTGTAGTTTTAAGTGAAAAATATTTTAATTGGCAATTAAAAAATCAATACTTCCCGTCCATAATTAATGTGCATAGAGGTTTTTGGAAAATGATTTAACATTTATTTAAGGAGCTTGCAGCCAGAAGATTGGCGTGCTTTAAAGAAACTTGTTGAAAAGTTATATCTCCGGCTCGATATTTACCAGATATTTATTACAGATATTTTTTTATTAGTATTACTAATTAGTTTTTAATAAATACAAATTCATTTAATTTTTTATTATATTTATTTTTATTGTTGCATTTTCCATATATTTTCAAAAGTATCCTTATATGAGCATATGCTACCGCTCAGCTACGCTGTTGTTGTATTAAAATATAATTATTGTTTATCAAGATTTTTGCCTTTTAATGTCAACAACAATTCAGTATTGAAATTGCCACCTACGCTTAAATATATGCATATAACATATTAAATACTTGTTTTAGCATTGCAAATACGGAAACAAAAATAGTGAAAAAAGTTATAATAAATGTATATTCTAATAACAAATAACGAATGCAATTACGCCAAATACATTTTAGACGCGTTCCAGACTCACGACACCACAAATAACAAATGTAGTCATAAATAATTAGTTTGCAAAGCACAGCAGACGCGCAGGCGCATAGAAATTGAAGCAGACGCGTGTTAACAGCCGAAAAAAGCGAAAAATAGCAACGTAAACAGCACATAAAAATCGAAAAAAACACGACGCCACAGCTAAAAATAGACAGCGAGTAAAAAGTAACGTTAGCTAAGTGTTTGCAGCCATGATTCAGGTTTGGCTTAATAAATATTAGATATTGCTGGGCTGATATACACACACATGTTATGAGGAACCATATATTGGTGTGTCATAATTATACAAAACAGCATTATATTTATTTACTACACAAAATTGCCGCCTCTGCGCTTAACAAACGCCTTGTTCCAACGTGTCGAGATTTTCAGCTTATATGGTGAGGCTGCTTGGTTTCGAACGCCATCTGATTGGGCTCGACAAATTTCTAAGGTGTTTGGAAGAAATAAATACGTAAGAAAAAATAACAGAAAATGAAAACAAAAGCGAGAGAAAACAGAGCACAGCTTAGATGTGGGCGAAAACGTCAGCAACATTCAAGGCAACAACAATTTGCGAAGCCACAAAGCACAGTTTTTTTGTGGCCATAACTATCATAAGCTGGTCGAACAACTTTCGCAGCGTTTCGATATTTTAAAATAGACAAAGTGTGTGATTTTCCCAGTATGGTTTTAGAACGCCAACAAAGCACACGGCACGCAAAGAAACGGAATAATAAAACATTTCAAAACGATTAAAGGATTACAATAAAATACAATACTATCAAAAAAGGATATAGTATTTATTCTTTGTAGTATATAAATACTAGAAATGCCTTTGAAGAATAAGAGCGAATATATACCCATCAAATGTGAGGGTTGGAACGGCAAATTCCTTTATGATAACGGTGCGGCGAATAATGTTTCGAAAGTGCGCCGACACAATCAAAATGTGACCGATACCTCCAACTTTTATGGCTACAGCAGTGAACCGATCATTCTGCCCGTGAGCTGGGACGGCACATTTGCGAAGAGCGGGGAGACCCGTATACAACCAGAACGCAATCGTTCCAATGATTCGGAATACTTTCAATACAATATGGAACCTACCGGTTGCCGACAGAATGGAATGGCGAATTTCAATTGGATCCCAATGATATACGCATCAAACCCGAACGCAATCACTCGGATCCGCGTGACTATGCGGAGGCCAGTCGTTTCAAGCGTGTCAGTTAAACAAATGCCGCCAAGTATCGCAGCATATGGCGGTTCTAGGAGTGAAACTGTTGCAACTGTTTTAAGTTTTGTTTTTTACTAACAACGTGATTTTTTGAATTACTAAACATATTTATACACAGCTTCGCGCACGCGTTTTCTTCTGAGTAATTTTTTATTAGTTATTACCCGAACAATTCACTGATTCTCACTTATAACGGTGCTAAATTGAAGTGTAAAATTTTGAAATTGTGATTATATTTATTATAAAAAAAAATAAATAAATAAACCTAATTTGTCTACTTAAAGCAAAGAACTTTATATTGTTTTGTGATTTGTAAAAAATTTTGCTGTTCAGAAATATTGGTGCAATATCTCAATACAAAAAAGTTAACAAGTGAGGTGTCTTTAAAAGCTCTACAAGGAAATATATTAGTACTGAAGTAATTGAGTTCTATTGTTTTATTTTTAGTCATTGAACACTGTTTTCCTAATTTAAAATTAATAAAACAAAGTATTAAATTCCACAGTCGTCAAAGAAATCTAAAAAATTTTTTGAGGAAAGTTTTCTGACAATACTATTTACAAAAACATCAGTAAACGTGCGCCAATAAAAATAAAGTTAAAGATTTCTAGTGTTGAAATCATAAGATTGTCTTAAGAGCAAAAACGTATAATATTATGTCTTCTGGTCAAGAGTGGCGAATCGAACTAGCAACTGTTAAAATTAAGATAGAATGGCATAATCAAAAAGTGAAGTATTCTAGTATGGAATTTCAAAAAAATTCAATCTTTTCATGTTTTCAAAGTTTAACTATTGATGAATAGGCTAACGGAAGGATTTTTGAAAATTTATATTATTTTCGGAGATATATTTTCAATACGATACCCACGATTTCTCGAGATCTACTGGACCGAACTTTTCAGAGAATCTTCCTTATAGACCTCTTTCGAGTATAAACTAGCCTCATTCCCAAATTTAATGTTTACTATTTTTGAAAAATACGAGAAAATAAAAAATGGTAAAAAAAAATTTTTTTTTCAAACAGTCGCCTTTTTGTCAAACAGTTTTTTTACTTATCGCTAGTTCATACAATTGCGACATCATTGCAGATTGATAACCTTTTTATTCATTGCAGTTGGCTAGGAGGGTTGAAAACATGGGTATGGTTATGTGCCAATTTTTTGAGACTCTCCCACTTCATCAGCTGCCAGTTTTTTTTACTTTTTAACTTTTGTTTAATTTTTTTGTACTCTTGTAACATTAATAAATAACTGATAAAAAAATCGATAGAAAAAATATTGATTGCCTTTTTTTTACGACACTTTGAAAATTACCTAAAATTCGTGTCTCTAGACTAGAATACCCCCTTGACAATAATACCACTTTTATTTGCATTGAGTTCAACGTTGTTATTGCTTCCGCGTCTTAAGCTTTGTACAAAAGTGTAACTCTTTGCCAGCAGCCAGTGGCAAATCGAAGATGGCTATAATATCAGAGTAAGAATACATATGTACATACAATATACAGTAACATAGAATATTCTTCTGGCAAGTTAGTTTTCAACCAGTCAAGCTTGACTGAATGAGAGATTGCGCGAAAAACAAAAAATGTCTATCCTCTCCATAGAATATTAACCTAAACTTGAATATCAACTAAGTTATATGACATTTCATCCAAACATTCTCAAGTTATTTGTCTTAAAATAACGCTACTTCTGCTAATTTTGTTTACAATGGAAAATTTAAACTTTATGTTTTCTTCAAACATTGTTGCCTGAGTAGAACGAAAAACGAGCAATAGCTTGATGAATGTAACGGAAAATCTATAACAGACTCTACTCTTTTACGCTGGTAAAAGATTTTACTCAAATAAGGAGATCAAGATGGAAACAAACGCTTATTATGAGGGCCCCGAAACCAGTTTCGAAATGCTTGGTGATCTTTACAACAAATGCATTACTTTAAATCGAGGTTATGTCGAGAAAAAAAGCTATATTTTTATTCTAAGAAAGATCTTGCATTATTATGCTAAATTTTTTTCAGCCCATGTAGTATCTACATGAAATTCTAAATCTTTCTTATTTAAATCACTTCATTGTTTAGTTAAAAGAACTATTTTAGCATGCACTTAAGTCAAATTATTTTGTAGGCACTTTATTCCTAGTATAAAATATCTGTGTAAATTCATGATTTAATTTATAATATTATATAATAACACGTCCGTGCTTCAAGTAATCTCAGCTGCTTATTAAATGTGTGCACATAGTTTGACTTGTATAATATATCAATCTATTACAGATATACGAGCATATATATTTATATTTATATTGTAGTTAAATTTTTATACCCATACTTAAGTCCACACCATACAACCGTACATACAATCTCATATACCTACAATATATGACCTAATATCACAGCGCACTCCAGCAGATTTACAGATTTGACGCCAGCAGCCTAATCAACTTTTGCCGCTTCAAAATTTTGATGCTTTAGCACACCATCATGTAAATTACATTTTTTATCAATAAAATTTTAGAATTTGTGCTCCATTATACGCGTTACATCACTTTTTACGGGACCATCGTTAATATATATAAATTTAGTTGTGTAAGTCATAATATTTGAGTTCAACGAGGAAAAATTTTAATAAATTTCACAGACGAAAATATATAAAATTAGTAAATTTCAATTATAATATCGATTTGCTGTTGCGTTATTCTATGTTTTCATCATCATTAAAGCGGATTCAAAAAGCCTTCAACAATTATACATGTAGAGACGTTGATGTCGAAATCTGCCGGCATTCAAAATTTGCCGGCCAAGGCTCAGACTACTCAGCCTGCTGATAAATTCGCCACTGACTCTGTCGTTAAAATTTTACAATGTATTTCTAGCATTTATTTGTTGTTACTTTTTTCGACGCAATTGCAATATCAAGAAGAAAACAAAAACAATTCGAAGGTAACTAACTGCACTCTATGAGGAAAAGATAAGATTTTTAATTGGAGTAGTGTGCAATTTAAGTCACTACCTCAACCAGAGACATTCAACCTGAGCTCCAGAACAGTTAGTACCGATATACTAAATGTATTTTTAACAAGCTTACAGTTGTGTAAAGTCAAGTATTTGTTTATTTTACGATGTTGACTGACTTGGTTTCCGCGCCACACTTTCACGAACACAACTTATACGCGATCAGACGATAAAGCGCTCCACCAAAACAACTGCCACGCTACAACTAGTCAATGTCCGCTTCTCGGAAATTAAAAATCTTATAGATAAAGTTCAGAGACTTTTCAACTTCAAATTGTTTGAATAATAAAAAATACCAAAAGATTAGCTTAAATATCGGAACATATCTTAATTAAAAATAAGCTTCACCTTTTCTTCAAAATAATATCACCGTTATCTTAGAAAGCGGTCACTTCCGCTAATATAATGTCATAAAATTGGTGTATTAAAGTATATTAATTCTCAGAAAATTATATTTAAATACAAGCTTGATGGGGACAAAGATAAGATTGTATTATACGAGTATACACATATGTATGTACATAACAGTATAACATAGATAAGAAGAAATTTCAATTAAACAATTAATGCTGAAAAATCAGAAAAACACCTGCCGATTTAGACTACACTTCAGTGGAACTAGACGAGAAAAATATTTTTAAATAAACAAATATTTACGTAAATATGTATGTAGGCGTGGGGGTGAACCTGTTTCTATAACTGTTTAGTACTTGTTAGACATACTTGTACGGCCTTGAGAATTCACTAAATTGCGCGTGTGAAGATTATACTGAATTTGCCATTAAACAGTCGTGTAAATATGCAGATAAGACCGTTATAAAGAAAGTGGTAGGAGTAGTAATATTGTTAATCATAATTGGCTTGTTGTTACCTTGTTAACACGGTGTTAAATTTCAATTATTTGTGAAACCACCCTTATACATAGTGTAACTTCTAAAAAGTAATATTTAGTTCCATATTTTATTTCCTGTTCCTGTTTCCTTGCCTTATCAGCTGTTGATTGTATTATTATCTCCAATTTCAAGTGTGTGTATAAGTAAATATATGAAAATTACCATATTAGGAACTTTGGTTGAGTGGTGCATTAAAACAGGCCAAATTTTTTTTTTCCGATGTACATTTTTTTTAAATCCTTTACTATTCATATTTAGAAAAAAAAGTCTCTATAACTTGTTAACTATAATTTTTTTTTTAAATTATTACAATTTATTTCTGCTATTTATAATTTTAAGATTCTCCCCCTCTCCCATCATTGAACGTATAATCTGGCGAGCGCTAGTCGCGCACTCAAACATTTGACATACCTGCGCTGCGTATATTGCTTCTGAGCACTGCTCAGTCACCCGAAAATTATGAAAATTGTTTTCTATAAGTTTGCTGAGAATTGCTGTCATTGTTTAACTTATAGCAGCCAATTTTAAATTTTGAAGAACACAGTTATTGCGTAACTGAAGGTTTAACTGTAGTTTTAACTTATGGACCCATACAATGAATAGCTCAATAGAGTTATGTTTCTGGCTTGTCAATGTTTAAGTAAAAAATGAAGTAAATGGATCTCTCTTGTTTTTCTTTTGTATCCATTTTCTTCATTTTCACAGTATCACGTCTGTGGTAAAGACTGACTGAAATAAGTTCGCCTCTTTTACAGTTGGGAGGTATCTAGTGAGGGTTTGACTTGATAGTTCGGTGCTGCCGAGGATCAGCCAGGCTGAGGACTCTTAAATAGTCCAGTCCTCGAGTGGATAAGATAGTCTTACTTGCATTGCGGGGGCTATATGAACCAAACTAATGCTGCTAAAACACTAGCCAGTCTCTCTAAATAAAAAAAAAACCAGATAGAGCAGCCAGCACAAAGACAGAAGCTGACCTGGCCTAGAACTGGAGCTGCAACTAAGCCAAGCCTTGTAACCAGCGTCTGGCTACGAAGCAGGGAGAGAGAGGAGACTTAAAACTTAAGTTGCTGGTAGTGCATCTGCCAGAGAATGGCCTATCTTTAATTTCGATGATTCAACTTAAATAAGGATTGTGGGGAAGCGTTTTGCCGGCTAACTCTTCTGAATGGTACAGCTGCAACCGCCAACTCACAGAGGAGCTATAAGAAAAATCCGTAAACAAAAGGTGTAGCACCCGTAAAATCGTTTGCTCGCAAGCGTCATATTATTATAATTTTGCATATATCTACGATGCACCTGTTATAGGCCTCGGCAAGAAGGACTTTAAATTCAATAGACGAATTATGTAACCTCGCTAGGGTAGATAATGCTGTTTTATTTAACGAAAGCAATAAAAGGGTGCCAAATATGGCGAAAAAGTGAACTATGAGATACAATTTTTAAATTGATATTTTTTTAATTCAAATCCCGCTTTATACAGTAGCCAAAAGGTGTTAAGATGATTTTTAATAGGTGCATCGCGATTTTCTCTCCTTTTTTATTTAATATCGACTACGACCTATAAAGTTCTCTTGTTGCTCAAATACTACAAGACTACGAGTATGTTCTCTCTTTTCACATTTCTGTGTGTGATTCTCTTTTAAAGACAATATGTATATAAAAAGTATTTATTTAGGATGACATCTAATTCTCATATAACAAACTTTTAAATTCCGTCTAATTCTTTCACTTTACGGTATACAAATTAAACATCACATAAACTTATCAGAATAAAACTTTGCACAAATAGTATCGTATTTCATCTTACGTCCGAAAATTGTCGAAACAATAATTGTGCCAAAAATGAGTAAAAGCAGTTCACCACTTCCCTTAGCCACCATATACCTAAGTGAAAAATTTTCGGTCCTCTGGTTGACTTTATACCAGAATGAATCCTAGTGTTGCAATCTGGCAACTTACAACTTTATCGTAAGGTTTGCAATTTTTGGTCATATACAAGATAATCAGAATGTTCTGACATACGAGCGCTCTTTGTGTGGTTTACAGTAACTTAAAAAATTCATCCCGGCCAAAAAATTTAATTCAATCGCAAACATTTGGTAGTTGTTCCGTCCAAAATCAGTTGTTGTTCCGGAAACTATTTATGCTGTACGAAAACTGATATTATAAGATCGTCATGTGACCTATCGTAAGATTGAGACAACTATAGACATTAGTAGTACAACACGACAATGCAAGATCTCACACATCGACTGAAACACCTGAAGAGGAGGTGACTACCACAATCAGAGGGGCAAAAGTGCTTCGACATTGGGTTCAAACGTATACAAAAGTATATGGAACTTAATGGAGAGTAATCTTAAAAACAATAATGCGATTTTCAATGGTTAACATTTGTTGTTGTTCTCTAATCCGGAAATATAAAAAGCAACCTTCGTATTACTATGATACAGTATGATTGATCGTGTAAACAATCCATTGTCTTGGTTGACTGAAATCGGTAAATATTATATATTTTAACTTTAGTAATTTTCGTTCTGCTAAAAAAGTGTATCCTCTTTCCTTAAATTAATGAAAGCACGGCGATACTTTTCTTAGTTGGATATAAAGTTTTGCCAAAACCTGAAGTTCTTTCTCCGCCTTTGTTCCTTGCAAGTTGCAAGAGCATGAAATGTTCGGTTACATCCGAACTCAAGCCTGCCTTATTTGTTTTATTTTCTCTTAACTTTTAGGCTGAGCCAGCTGCTTCGGTACTTGTAACCCCCCGTAACCGACGCCATCTGTGCTAAAGATAATAAGCCAATACTGCTTTGTATTAATTCTTCAGATTCCTTATAGATAATTAAGGTGTTGACATCGCAATTGTTATAAACAAAAATATCTGAATGCATCAACTGTTATTTTTTATGGCCGTTGTATTCTCAATAATAAATACACTTACACACACACACATTCAATTCCAAGTTAGCCCGATCAACATTTCACTGTCTTCACTTTATCACCTTAAGGGGTTTTTATCGCCAGAATTTTATGCGTTTTTTACAAATTAACCGATAAGAAAGTGACTAAAATTCATCGCTATATAAAGTGTGTAAATTCAATGATTGCAATTGTTAGTTTCCAAGATGTTCGCAAAACAACTTATCACCGTCTTATTCGCGCTGCAAATTATCACCAACATAGCATTGGCACAATCGCCGGCCATAGTAAATTGCGACAGCATTGAGATTTGGAATGTTACAACCAAAACGGACGACTACATTCTGGAGAATCGCCGCCAATACAATGCTACACTTCAAAGCTATTTGAATGAAATAAATAGCATCAAGAATAGTCTAGACGATCAATTGTTGGTGCTGGATAAACAAAAGCAGTTGGTGCTCGACACAATACTGGAAACTAACGAAAAAATCAATCCTTTGGAAGTGCTCAGTTTGCCCACGAAGCATTGTGTGCAAAAATATCACGGTGAACTGCCTTATGCCAATATCGTCAAAGATAAGATTGAGACCTGCCTCAGTAACGCACGCAGTTATGCCAGCAGCATCGTCAGCACGTCAAATAGTTATTACAACTCGCTGAACAATTACTACAACAATGATTTGCGAACAAATCTGAACACGTGCGCGAAATTACACGCAAATCCATCGTTGAATTATACGCTCTGCATCACAACAGCGGTAAGTGGGGTTAATATTCTTCGCAGTAAATGAAAATAATGCAACATCTTCAACTGCTGGGCAATTTTAGATATCCAAGGCCAACACATACACCATAACCAGTCGCAAGAGCTTCGCTTCGTCCATCGAATCGTCGCACTGCAGTTTGAGCAGTCGCATAGATGTCGCAGTGAGCTGCACTTACACGGAGTACAATGCGATTTTGATGTCGATTGGCTCGGCTACACGCATGATCGACGAATGCATTAACGGTTATCTGGAAAATAAGCAATGTGTGAATAACACCAACACCATGGAAGTGAAAAATGGCGCACCCGCCAATAGAAGCGCTATTAATCCCTTGATGATTGAAACGTAATGAGTCGAAAAGTGCTTTACTAAAATTTAAATTTAATTTAAAAGTAAATATAATAAAATCAACCTTATGCAAAATTAATTGCTGTTATAAGCTTTATTTACAGTTGTTCGTGCAATATCTTTTATAGTCTGTGAACAATGTTAAGTTTCCCATTTACATCTGGTAATGTATTATGTAATACATCAACTAGGAGCCTCTACATTATAGTTAAGGAGTTTTTTATCTAAAATGATTTAAGCTCAAACTAATTCATCATCCCATATATCTAAACATAATCGATTTGTTAGATTGAACAGTTACCATTCCGTGCTTAGGGTATTTGATCACTACTAACTTGGCGTTAAACCAGAAAAAACGTTAACTTCGGTTGCACCGCAGCCATAATACCCCTCACAAATACAAAATATTTCTTAGAGGATCGTTCAATTTGTATGTCAACTATATGCTATAGTGGTCTAACCTGAACAATTTCTTGGCAGATTGCACCGTTGTTTTAGTCAATAATACCTGTCAAATTTCGTGAAAATATCTCGTCAAATACAAAAGTTTTCCATACAAAACTTGATTCCGATCGTTTAGTTTTTATGGCAGCTACTTGTATGTGCATAATGGTCCGATATCGGCGGTTCGGACAAATGAGCAGCTTCTTAGAGAAAAAGAGATGTTTATAAAATTTCAGATAGATATCTCAAAAACCGAACGAATAGTTCGCATATATAAAGACGAATATGACTAAATCGACTCAGCTCATCATGCCGATTGTATAGATCGGATGACTATAGCATATAGCTGCCATATTAACTAAACGATCGGAGTAAAGTGCTTGCATGGAAGATTTGTTTATTTGACGAGGTATATTCACGAAATTAGGCACGAGTTCTCGCGTAAGGAAACAAATTATTCTTCGCAGAAATTGGTCAGATCAGATCACTATATCATATAGCTACCATACAAATTGAACGTTCGGAATAAAGTTCTTTTAAGGGGCCTTTGTATTTGTGAAGGGTATTATAGTTTCGGTGCAACCGAAGTTAGCGTTTTTTCTTGTTTTTTTTAATAATTGGTGATAATCAGTGGATAGGTATATTTTCTCAGCCATAATGTTGAACTTATTACAAAATATACCAGAGAACAATGTAAAAAAGTTTCTTAGAGTGCTGGACATCTTTCTTGAAAAAATCACATGCAATAAATATTAGTAGTGTAGTATCAAAAGGACTAAAGACCCTTTTTATGTGGTTATAGATAAACTGCGACCCCATCGATTTAAATGCTCCTGTCTATTATTTCAGTTGTACGACACATTTTAATATGAAGGTCATGAGGTGAACTGTAAACTCAAGAAAATTACATTTTTACCCAGCACCTTTGGCGTAAGCTGTGTGTACAAAAATATACCATCACAAAACTATTATACTTGTAATCTGTAGCAACATGTTGCAAGAGTATAATAAATATCAGTACACTGTGTTTGTAGTTTCAGTTACACTAGATTTCTTTACCAGCACAGTGCTTTATTTAAACTAATTTTAGTGTATTAGTTATATAGTGTTTAAAGTATTATTATATACAGTGCCGAGCAAAACCGTAATAAATACAGTGGCGAGCAAACACATATACATATGTGCACCAGTATACCATAGTACCTATACACCGAACAGGAAAGGAGTCATAGCAAGAACTTACAAGGAATTACAGTGAAAGAGAGCAGCACCTAGGATCCTACTTTTCACACCCGGACGGACAGAATTATACAAGTATTATCTATAAGTATTTTATACATTAATCCATTTATTAGTAATTAATTATGCCTAGATTAAGTAGCAAATCTGTATTACTAAGTCGTCTTCAGAATAGAAGATGTATGAGAGTTCTTCGTGCAAACTCTTTATATAGAGATAGTGAGCAGTCACAAAATACTGTAAGTCACGCTAATCGTAGGTTAGATTCTGATGAACGTCCGTCCGAACAAATTATCAATACAAATAAACATAGAACCAGGCGGGAAAATCTCGAGGTATGGTCTTTTGAACACATTTTAAATACTGTTCAACATAGGGCAAGACATCTAAATACCCAAATACGATCTAAAGAGCAAAGCAGAAATACTTGGGGACATAGAAATAGTACATCCATTTGCTTTAGACAGTTTTCAGGACGCAACCGAGTTACGGCCCAAAATCTACGATATTAAAGGAAAACTTTGTTCAAAACTTGATTCAACACGATGATGGTTAATTAATGATGTAAAAAGCGACTGTTTGATGCTATCTCCAGATATTTTATGTTTTGTAGAAACTTGGAGTTATCCTTGCGAAAGTTTTGATATACCAGGATTTACTCCAATTAACCAGCTGAGGATAGATAGCAAGGAAACAAGCAAGAGAAATAAACGGGGCATTATAATATATATGGAAAGCATAGTATTGCTTGTTCTATAGAATCAAAGACTGTAAAGAAAATTTATTCAGGCCGCAAAGTTTTAGAAGCGGTTTTGTGTAAATGTTTAAATATTAATATTCTGGTTCTATATAGAAATTCAGCTTTCTCTGTCAGACATTTAATTGTAGAGCTTCAGGAAGTCCTTACTTTTGAGTTAGGCAATCAAAATGTGGTAATTGTTGGAGATTTTAACATTTGTTTAATGTCTAGAGGGACTGCAATAAGAAATCTGCTCCAAGAAAAAAACTTTAGTCCCCTGCTTGGTGTAGAATATTCAACTACACCTGCCGGTACACAAGTTGATTGGGCATTTTCAAACATGGATCCTTCCCGTGTTAATGCAATTACTTTTGAGACAGTACACAGCTATAATGACAGTTTCGAACTAAAGTTTTCAGACTTAGTGCAATAGTTCTTCATTTTTTTTTTCCAAATATAATCGAATTAGAATAGTATAGCAATTTTGACAGTAGTTTTTAAGACAATTTTAAAAAAAATATGTAAATAATCTAAGAAAATTTAAATTATATGTATAATTTGTTATTATATATGACATTATTGTATAAATATATGATAGAAATTAAATAGTATAAGGAGAAAAGAAATATCATTTGGATATATGTATAAGAATCTCTATAAAAATTTATGTTTAATATTGTGAATATTATATAAAAATTAATATAATGATATAATTTTTAAAGTTGTTAATATTTATTATTTTTAAGCTAGACATGTATATAATATCGATATAATAAATAAAAAATGTTATTCATTGTCCAAAAACGATTTTTTGCATACTTCTCAATACAGTTGTAATGCATTCTATATAAAATCAATTATAAGCGTATACAAAAAACCAAAGAACGATTTCTCATAATTTGAGTAAATTTAGTTTACAAATTGCTCTAATTAATTGAACTGTGAATGTAAATAACTGAGGCAACCGTTCCTACTTCTAATTACTAATATATATAATATAAAGAGATCTTAAACGAGTATACCATTTAACTTTGCGAGAGTATAAAATGTTCTGTTACATCCGAACTTAGCCCTGCCTTACTTGTTATTGTTATGTATATAATTATAAATAATTTTGATTAAAAGTTTAAAATTTATTAAAGAAAAAAAATTAATTATCTACTGCGCAAAGGAAGTTTTCACTTGTGATAGATTTACAGTCATAACTGACAATTTTCAGCTATGAGTCAGAAAAAACATGAGAGTGAGCAATATAGATATATAGTGAATTAATTCCGAATACCCATGTGTTAAAGAGAGATGCAAACTCACACACATACATTTGTTTACATCAGTTTTTGCATAAGGCTCTTAAGAAAATGATAGAAACTTTGTTCTGCAAGCTGACAAAATTTTTTCATCTGTGACTGTCATATGACCAGTCAGATGACTGTCAGTGTTCTTTTAGTGAATATTATAGCTTTTACAATGTTTACACTAACAATGACAATTGCTGTGGATAACTGTATTTCCTTAGTGCAATAATGTTGAAGCAAAAAGCTGGAAAGCAAATAGTGCCACTATTGTCAACTGTTTCTTGTGTAAATATATTTAAGCGCACCGTTAATATCATGTTTAAGATGTAAACATTTGATGTTCTATTATTCTTCTTTTAAAAGAAAGTATTTCAGAGTTTTTAATAGATCACTTTATATCCGTATCGATTTTTGCTATATAAAGTGCGCTTCTCGACTATTTTGCAACAAACGTTTAGAAGATGTACACTAACAAGCAATTAGTAGTCGCGTTGCTCTCTTTACAAGTGATCGTAGTTGCGGTGGCGCTGTCGACAACTGCGGCAAGCTATACCGCATCCGAAGTCGTTAATGTGACAACAAGGACCGATGATTATATTCTTGAAAATCAGCGTCAATTCAATGCCACGTTGCAAGGTTATTTGGACCAAATGAGTATCGTGACGAACGGTTTAGAGGTGGGACTGAAAGTGCTTGATCGCCAGAAAGTGCTACTGCTCAAATCGATACAGGAAACTTACGAAGAAATTGATCCTTTAGAATTGCTAAGCTTGCCGGCGAAATACTGTGTACAACAATATCACGATGAATTGCCGTACAATCAAATTGTGAAAGCGAATATTGAGAGCTGCATCACTAGTGCACGCAACTATGCCACTTCTATGATCAGTTCTGCCAACACTTATTATAGTTACTTGAAAAGTTACTATACTAATATCTTTAATCCTAATCTGAACGCCTGTGCGAAATCGAATAGCAATCCGTCCTTGAATTACACGCTCTGTGTTACATCCGTGGTGAGTATAATTACAGAATAATTGAATATTAAAAAAAAACAATTTGATTTGATTTGATTTTTAAATATTCTATGCTTAAATTCTAGATTTCCAAGGTCAACAGCTACATTCATAGTAACCGTGAAAGTTTTGACGCCGGCATGCAGACGGCACATTGCAATTTGGAGAACCGTCTTGATATTGCCGCCGGCTGCACCCACACACAATTTAACTCGGTTTTGACTTCGGTTGGTGCCGCTACACGCCTGATTCATGATTGCCTCTCTGACTATTTGGAAAGTTTGAATGATAACAATAACGGTACAATTAGCACTGGCTGCCCGAATGTCGTCTATGTGGAAGTTAAAGATAGGGATGTCCAATCCAGAACCATAAGCAACCCTCTATTCGGCCTAAATAGCACAGCTAATTGTGTGGAAATAAGATTTGTCTAAAAATTATAACAGAATGAATTTTTTCATCACAATGAAACCGAAAAATGTTATTATATTTTTTTTTTGTCAAATTAGCTAACAATAAATATAAACATTCTTTTGATGATTAACATAAACAGAATTTATAGCAGAATCAGCAACAGAATAACAACAGAACATGATTGATTGAAGCCAAAAATAGAATGCTTGAAATTTCGTGTAACCATGTAACAACAACAAATAACTAAGATAAAGTAATAATAAATGAACTTGACTTTACACAGAAGAACAGAATCACTAACAAAAAAACTACAGAAATTAAGACAGAGAGGGGTAAAAAGATGTGGGAAAGATTGAAACTCATCACCTTTGATGTGGAGCCAAGCCTGGAAATTTACAATTGTTCAGATATTCCATATGTTAGACTTAAGAAGGGAGCATCGGTACCAAAACAGCTTATCATCAATCAAAAACTGGGTTCGACAATAATTAGATTTAATTTTATGCCACTGTAGCTTGGGAAGAGCACTAGCTCTGATAGAATTGAAACGAATTTCTCCAAGAATGTATCTCATGCGATATAAAGCTTATGGTCAAATATATAGTCAACTAACTAACTCTCAGCTCACACATTTAGACTTTAACATTTAACTTATTAAGACCAGCCCTGAGGACCAATCTCGAATTTCTATGGTGAAGGCGTTGTGAATTGAGACCTAAGGTCCTCACTCAACAAACTCGTAACTCTTTAAAGCTTGGGACGGTAACGGAGCTCTATGCATTAGAAACAGTAGACTAAATAAAGATCTCGAAATAATTCAACGAATTAAAATCTTCAGCGGATATTATAGCAATTGAGTTCAGATCTGAATGTAATTATTTGTCAGATGCGAGAAATATAGGAAGAGAGAGCACTTTCCTGTGGTGGAAAAAACAGATAGAGAACTTGGCCTCCTTTAGTTTACGAATTGGCGGCAATATAATAAAAAATTGTTTTCATATATGTATTTCTTTTTTTTATAAAAATAGGCTTAATTATCCACATTCAGTTTTGCAACTAACAAAAATCTGAGTACAAATTAGAACTACATTACACATAATATAAAACTTAATTTATCGCAATACCCTTAGTAATGAAATTCACTTGCAAACAGGGTGTCGTTTTCGTGATTCCCTTAAATGGATTATTTATCTTCTCGCTCGACAAATCGCTATCGGCCAGATGCCAGCTCATGTGATAGGGACAACGACCTTTACTAAGCGCCGCATCATCGCCACAAGTTGGACAGAATTCGTGACCGGCAATACAGTTCTCCACCAGGGTCTTAACCTCGCCAATGGTCTCGAACGTCGAAAGCACTTGCAAATTATAGCAATCGAAGACTTCACGTATTTTCATATCCGCATTGCATTCGGCCGCCTTCATTTGATTTTCAAAGACATTCGTATCGGCGTAGGTCTTCGTGGCGGCATTCGTCCCCTATAATTGAAGTTTTTTTTTGCAAATAAAAACAACTCGCCTAACTGCACACACACTGTCTGTAACTTACCGCCGTCAATATGCATTGCGTGTATTTGCTCTCGGTGAAATGTCCCGTATGCTTCTTCTTGCAGTCATTCACAGCCGTTGCAAAATTGCTGGTGTAGTAACTTTTCAAATTTCGCACAGTCGCCTCCGCACCCGACACAAGACCCGAGTATGCATTGTTGCCTTTCAGCGTGCATTCCTTCATTTTGACGGTTAACTGTGCGATCTGCGGCAATTTGGCGCGATATTTATGCACACAATAATCATTGATGTCGTCCAGCAGCACGAGCGGATTCAACTTGTTGTCCACCTCCTCCAATTTGGTTTCCAACACTTCTACATTGTAGGCGATAACGTCGAGCCGTGCATAATATTTGGCCCTGAAGTCAACCAAGCTCTGTTCGAGTTCTTTCATATTGGTTCCGAATTGACGCTGATGGTGCAGATAAAAGAGATCGGCACGTGGCGTTGTCGTTATGTTGTAGTAGAGCGTGTCGGGAAGAATTGTGATTTCGCACTGGAAAAGTTTAGTTAAATAGGAGAGTCTTACATTGGTACTCCATATTAAAATTTAAAAAAAATATTTTTTTCTACACATACCTGTACGCTGTACGCACAGCACAACACGAGTACTACCAGCGTTAATTTACTGAGATGTCTTTGCATCTTGAATGCAAGGGAGCTACTGTTTGAGACTCGTTTAAACATTGCGTGGATTTATAGCAGAAATATTAAAACTCCCTGAATGGATTATAGTTGACAATATAGTTGAGAAAAATTATTTGAAAAACAAAACAAAAATAGTAAGGCCGTTCGTGTACGCGGTTGCGCTACTCGTAATTAACAAATTTCTTTAGATCTGCTGTTGCAGAGCTTTCGGAGGCTCACTCGTGATTTTATTCACAATATTTATCTATTATTTCTCAAAATGTTGCTATTTTCGACTTAAATCCAATTCGGGTCTTGAAATATTCATCAACAGTTGTTGTTGTTTCAAAAGTCTGCTGTTCTTCAAGGCCATAAATCTTAGTGCAGCAAACAATCCTTTTTTAGACTATCGGGACTTTTAGTGAAGTGTTAAAAGTTGCACTCATGGTCTCAACTAGATATGAATTAACATTCTCCAAACTTAGTCAGATTTTAACTCAAATCTTAGTCGAATATTGAAATAATTATCAACGCACAATTATACAAGTATACGACCCATCTTAGGTGAACCGAGAATGTATCATCTTCGACTAACAGAGCTTTTAATAATTTCCGAAAGTTCCATGTCACAGTCAACATACGATACTGAAGTTCGGATGAATATTGCCGAATATCATGGAACATTGCCGCACACTTGTGTCTTGGTAAAGATGAGCAATAACGGCATTTTTTTCGTGTTCAAAAAAATGATATTTGGTTTTTATCAATTACAAATAAAGTACTTGTATTATTTATATTTAAATTGAAACTCACACGTGAAATGTAGAGGGGTATATATAATTAAGTAGATCACACTTTTTCCTTTGACGGCTGTTTTGTCTTTCTCTCTTTTGCTGATAAGAAATATACAAATTACGACTGGAGTGTCAATATATTCGCAGAACAAGCCGCTCAGAGGAAATTTATTTTCAAAGACAGCTGATATTTTTAACACAAAATTATCTGTAAGTGTGTATTTTTTGCAATTATGTACTTCCATATTTTATTCGTATTAATTTCCATGCTTACTGACAAATACGAGGTAAATCCCACAATTACTCCGACGCTTGCAAGCATATTTACACATATTAATTTTATTCGTTTATTTTTTATTTGGAAAATCCATTGTTTTCGTGGGCTAAGAAAAAAGGGGTTGGCTGATCTTGAACATACATTCGATCATACGGTATGTTCGTAATCGAGGTTTTACGCGCCATTATTAAAAAAAATATAACAATGCGCGTTTATGATTCACTTGCATTTAAAAGATTTTTTTTCTTCGAATTAATCTGTATGGAATCACAGAGTGATTTTTGAATTTCTTCGATCGTCAAAGGACAATTGATCGAATCGAAACCAAAGGTTATAGAGCCTAATTTCTGTTACTAAGAGTAGACCAGCTTTCACACTTCTCAATAGCACAACCATAGATTAAGAGATTGGAAAATCGCAATGACTTTGGGAAAGCAATTTCCAAATTTTCTTCAAAAAACAATTGAACAAACATAGCCTCGTTGACCAATAATAACATTAAATTCCCTTCAAGCTCTTATATGGCTTGAGCCCATGTGCACATTACTCACATTTTTGGCGCTAACGGACACAAAATTCCGTTCAAGCATTAAATACAGTAAAACCTTCGAACACCTCTATGAACAGTGTTCTCGAAGAGTTTCTGTTCGTAAATTTTCTAAACCTTCGGGGACAGCGATAGAAACATATGTATATAATTTTTTATTTTCTGATGCTTTAACTAAGTTTCTTCCCTTTTTTTTATGGTATGGCTTAATGATATTAATTTTCAAGTTTACCTCTCAAAGTGGCAATCTTAGCTCAAATCGAACTATCGAACTGACGGCCATAGAATTACAGTGGCACGCCAGGCGCTGGATCATATATTTGCTAGCCTGAAATTTTCTTACAGTTCTCTATATACAATAGAAGTAGTTTCTTCTGGCATAAAATTTGTTTTACCTCTTTAATAAAAATTCAAAGCAATACTCAGCTTTTCCGTTATTTAAAATATTTATTTGCACAAAAGTTCATGTCACATGGCGTAGAAATTTCGTAATATGCCGATAATATATTCAGTCAAACCAACGGATAACTAGGACCCATTGCAATACCGCCATAATTGACATGTCGCGGCACATTTATATAACCATCCATACCCCAACTGACACCCCACGAATTCTTCAATATCCAATAGTCCGTATTCGTAGTATTATCTCGACCATAGCCTACCAATAGCATAGCATGATTGGGTTTACGCTCCTCACAAAGCTCGTCGTTGAATACACCTTGCCTATAGAATTGTTGGCGAAAACATTTCGTATTGATTTTGATAGCAATTGGTCCCACTGTGGCCACAGCAGCCATAAGATCATCTTCATTGTTGGCTGTAATTTTGACAAAACCTTTACTTTTCGCTGCAATTGCAGATGCGTTGAACAAACACTCTGCGTCCAGTTGGGCGCGATAAGGATACACATCGGCCGAGTTGATGCCACCGTTATCACGTATATAGAGAAAACTGCGATCTTTATTGCCACCATTACAACCCTGATTTCCATATGTAATGGTACAATCTACCAGATTCTGCTCCGAGAGCGATATAAGTTTCGAAGTTTTGCGAAAGTGTTGTCCCTCTAGCGCGCCAGTGGTAGCAAAAGCCCAACAGGAACCGCAGCGGCCTTAAAGCAACAAAGTTGAGGTTACATTTAGAAATATCGGCACATATAATTTGGTGTTAATAACAAACTCGCAATACCTTGCTTCTTGACCTCGGTAACCGCTCCCAATTCACGCCAATCTACCGCGTCGGGCAACACGATATTGGCTGGTGGTATGAAGGTGGCGCCTTGTTTCAATACACTTGGAATACTAGAATATGAGTAGAAAATTATTTTATACATTATTTATTTAAGAGAAAAACTAGTTACTTAAAAATCTCATCGCTGCCATTCATAGTGCTCGCAAACTCTTCCTCACTGAAATCAGCATACTCATTGATTCCCAGCTCAAAGTTAGTCAGTCCTCTCGTAAAGTTCTGATTATGCTCCGCGATAAATGCGAAATTTTTCAGAAATATACGCTCACGTTTCCGCTCTTCGACATCTGATTCGTAGTGCTTATTATAAATTAGCTGAAAGAATGAATATTAGTTTTGATGGAAAGTTAGTCACCAGGAAAGTAACAATAGAGAGATGGGTGCTTGATGTTGTGTTGATAATCGTTACGTCGAAATGAAAATGAAGAAGTTGAAAAAAAGTTGCATCTTATTTCTGAAAAAAAATTCTTAGAGCTAACTTAAGAGGTTTATGATAATATCTGCTGAAAATGTTCTCCTTTTATTTGTGCTATGTATCTTAATGACGTCCAAAAAATAAAGGGGCTAGATAATTTAAGTTTCCTCTAATAGGTCATAATTGTTTAAAAAACTTATTCTTGACAAAGAACTTTTTCGAAGCGCTTCCGTTACTTACCGATGGATAAGCAGAGGCAGTCAGAAAAGAATCTTTTATGTTGGTCGAAAATTGCGAACGAAATCTAAGTGTACGTAGTGGTAGTTCCAAACTCTTTTGGTCGTAGCTAAAACGAAACTAAACCGAACCCTGATTGTCGAGCATGGACGAAGTCGAAGTTATACCATTCCATCAATTTCATCACATACATATGATCTCATTATCATGATTTATTAAAAACTGATGAATGCTTTAAACCCGCAAGAAACCACTCAATAATCCGACTAATAAAGAATAATTCCATCAAAGGAAGAATCGTTTAAACAATTTTTTTTTGTTCAGTTGAGCCTATATTTCTGAACTCATCATTTTTTTCACTAAATAACTTTTACAATTTTTCTTACCTTAAATTGCTGAAAATGTTTTGAATCCTCAATAATTGCAGCGCAACTTATGTGTAATAAGGCGCTTAAGCAAAGCAAACAAACTACATAAAATTGCCTCATTTCCAATCAGAAATCCAAATCACTGCAAGAATAAAATTAATAAAATTCACTTCGAACTATATTCTCACCAACCGTCTCTCTGCGTGTTTGAGAAAGAACTGAATTTTTGATTTTTGGTTTAAATTTTGGAAATATTTGGTAATTGGAGTGTAATAGGCGAGTGTAGTCAATGACCTGTTCAAACAAGTTTTAGTTAGTTTAGGTGCATTGCTACCTGTGGCTGACCTTTGATGCACCATAAGATTGGTGGCAAAGCAAAGAAGATTAACCAATTATTGATGTAACAACACGCAATTAAAATAAATATCTGATGTCACAGCTAAGTTCGTTGATTCTTTCAATAAAAGTAGAAACAGTCCTACTGTGACAATCCGTTAGGTCTTAGAAAGCATTAAGAGAATGGAATTGATCTTTAGTGTTTTAAAAATATGACAATAATCAGCTTCATATTATGTTTAGTGGTGAAGTACAATAAAACCACGGAAAGAATATTTGAGATTGAGATATCTAAACTTCTTTCAAGTTTATTACATTTTTTGTTTTATTTTCAAAGTATCTTTTTAGTGTTATGGCAACATATTATAAATAATATGATAGATCATCAATGAAAGAATTGGAATAGTAAAATCTCAAATATAGTAATTTTTTCATGACGTGACGATCTAATGTATTTTCGGTCAAACGCAATGCATAAAAGTAACGAGACGAAACCGTAAGAAATCTTATCTTTACCATACCAGTTGAATCCCATAAATAAACAAGCAGCACTCACGACTCAGTTCACCAGATAATTTTGGCAGTCAGAAGATCACGCAACGTAGAATTATTCTTGCCGAAAAGTGCTTTTTTGAACTTAGTAATTATTTGAGTAGTAAGTTCTTATATACATAAACAAAACTAACACTTTATAAGTCTTCAAAAAACATGGAGATGGTGGTAAGATAGATGGATGGTATGATGAAAACATCAGCTGTATGATAAGTTACACATCGTCAAGTATTACGATGACTGGAACAAGTTTTTCGAATAAATTTAGACTCACAAGCTCTGAAAGTGGTGTTTACTTTAACAGTTAGTTGAAAAGAGTTATGAAGGTAACAAAGGACTTGCCTTCGAATTTGTGTACAAAACTTGATCAAAACCATTTCGACGATAATGGAACTAATCAAGAAGAAAATAACAAACTGACTTTAATATTTATAACATAATCACTAATTTAATAGGAACCTAGGATAAGTTTACAAAGCAAGTACTTTTTTGAGGCTGACTAACGTTTTGGGAAAGAATATATCGATGGTTTAGCAATATGTTGTTAGGTCTTTAAAAAGATATACCAAAGCTTTTATGGATCGTTTTATGACACTTTTACAGGAGAAAAACTGAAAAATGAAATAGGCGGCAAATGCGTTGTAGATAGTTTGAAAGAAGAACTATAAAATTGAAAGTTTTTGAAAATATGATGAAAATTTTAAAAGAATTAAAACCCACAGCTCTTTTCTAATACTTTATTATTTTATAAAACAAAATTTTTATTTAAAAAAAAGTCACTTTTGTAATATATTTATTGCGAAACATTTCAAACAGTGGCGTTGTAGTAATCCTCGGCGGGAATAACACGTGGGCCGCCTTGGTAGGCCACAATAAAAATATTTTCAATTTCCAATTCGCTAAATTCGAAGCTATGACCTGCAATGAGAAGAAAAAGAATGAAATTGAATACATCAATTAATATAACTATACTAGAATGGTTCTCTGTCTGATTGCTAATTACAATTTGTGCCTTTCATTTATATTATATACCATTATGTAATTTATTTTAGGTATAAATTTATATTTTCAGTTCGTAGGATCGTGCAGCGAATTGAACAGACAAGTGGCATAAATGCAATAGGCTGGTTAAATGAAGTAGAGATATCATGCGGTTATACCATTTTAAGAAATTAGGCCCATATTCTCTCATAACACTATTGTTGTTTTCATGTGTAATTTTTTTTACAAGAGAGCACAGCTCAATAATACATATTGTTTTCACTTACTGTGTGCCGCCCATTTCTCGGCATTTTTATGGCGATTATAGAATGCCTGCAGCTGATCATTGTAGGTGGGATCTGATGTATTTAACTACATTATAGTTGAAGAAATAAATGGAAATTAATTAATTAAGCATTCGCCACACTCGTTCACAACAACTAGCTTACCTTTTTCACGCTGCCGCTAACCATAATGCGTGGGCATGCCGGTTCCATGGGATTGACGCCACGTCTGTGACAAGCCCCATTCTGTTCGTCGGTAAAGAAGAAGGTGACCTTGTTCTTTTGCTGCGTATCACGTCCAGTAAAGTCCAGATTCAGCAAGAAGAAGCGTATGTGCCCAGTTGAGGAGCCATTCAAAGCGCTATCGTCCACTGCCAGTATATTCACCATTGGATAGTCGATGATTTTCTCACTGGTGGAAATACTTCCCACTGCAGCCCAATCGGCTTGATGCACCAGGCGACGTGCTAGCGCAGCGTCATTAAGGTTTGGCGGTTGACGTCCGTGCGCTGAGTATCCTGCGCAGCTGTCTACTGTGAGCAGTGCGAAGAGCAGACCGCTAATGATTGTGATTGCTTGAGACATGGTGATTGGAGTGACTTGTAATGTCAATGTGAATTCTCTTCCTTTATATAGTGCAAGTGTACCATACGTTTGTATGTTTCGTTGTATATAAGTATTTTTTTAACTAAGAAAAATTGTATGCCGTGGATGCATCATCATCTTTATTTATGATGTAATTTGCTGATTATATACATATGTCTGTATATATAGGTTTGTATATATGAGTACTATATGTAAATGCACATAATGTGTGACTACTTCTAAGAGTTTAACAATAACAGTTGGGGTTTTTCCTTTCCGTATACAGTCTTTGCAAAAATCACATCCACTTTCGTTAAAATTCTGTACCGTATTCAAATAGCCGCTGCTCTGGCTTGAAACTTTTATGCCTTACTAGGCTTCAAATCTCAACAGCTGATTTTGGTAGAGAAATGCAAATCTTTGGGCAAAAAATAGAGCTGTTCCTTTTATTTCGGTTGTCCCAATAAACCCCTAATATTTAACTATTTTGAACTCTATGTGTCAATTTGTTAACATTCAGCTGATTCTCTCTCACCTTGAACAATAATCTGTGCCGAATTTCGTAAAGATATCTTGTCAAACGAAAAAGTTTTCCATACAAGAACTTGATTTGGTCGAACAGTTTGTAAGGGAGCTAAGTGCATTTTGTATATTTTATAGTGATCCGATATCGGCAGTCCCGACGAATACGAAGATTCTTAGGTAGAAAAGGACGTGTGAAAAATTTTAGATCGATATCTCTAAAACTGAGGGACTAATTCGCGTATATACACTCAGATAGGCGGACTTGGCTAAATCGACTCAACGAATCCCGCTGATTATTTCATTTGGGGTTTTACACACTTCGTTTGCTTCTTAAGAAAGTACTAAATTGTGAAACATTTTTTATGACATTATTCATTTCTATTTTGAATGACAGCTTGACAGCTGCTTAACCAAAATTAATTTAATTTTAAAACCAATTTTAAGTTTCACTTCTTCGACAGACTGTACATATATTACAGCAAAAAAAATCACCTGCATACCATTATTAGTAAGGGTTGCCTGCCCCCGAGGTTTTCATAGTCAACTTTACTGATAAAGGCTTATTAAGTAATAAAAAATTGTGCATTTAATGCACATACATACATAGATATATACAAGTTTTTATTTCTTATGGTATGACATTTTTAAAAATATTACTCCATAAAACTATACACACACACTGTACTTGGTTTTTAACACAAATAGCGGTTGATAAATTTCTTGAGCGAATTTTTTTGTAAATTTTCGAAAGATTCTTAAAGCTTATCCATTACCTATTTAGTGTAGACGGATTTTATCCAACATTTTAAGATTTGAACTTGAACTGATTTGTTTAAGGGGACCGCCGAAGGGAATGAGATAAGAGATACGATAGTGAACATACATACATGCGTACAATTTTTTCAAAACTCAATACATTTCATTCATTTTAATACATATATATATATGTAAGTACGTATATAATAATAATAAATACAACTGTAGTAAATGCGTCGTTTAAATATATAATTCTAAAATATTTATAATTTCATTATCATACCCAATAATCTAGTTCTACCTTCCGTAGTCGAAACAGTCGAAAGCTTTTGTACAAACGCACATACGCACACTCATACATATGTAATAAACATAAACAGTAATTCCAATGAATTTAGTTACTATTGAACTTCCTAGCGTAGATTACACAAGCATATCAATTAAAAAAGTATAAATTTTAATTTTCTAAGAATCATTTATTTATTTATTTTTATTATATATATTTAAATACGTGGACTTATTACCCTTGTTATGGTACCTAAAAGTAATCAATTTAATTAAAAAATAGTTACATTAATAATCATTTATTTGCGGGTTTTGTGGTTGAAAATTCAAGCAAACGGTCGTCAGTTCAGCCTTCAGTCTATAACAAACAAATTTAAAATCTATTAAATATTCACACATACATCCATTTATATATTCGTTACCTTTGTGCGTCACTGTACTCGTATCTTTCTAGTTCGCACAATATGAACTCGGAAAATACGTCCTTCCACTTTCTGCGGACTGGTACTTCCGGATTATTTCCCAAATGCAGTTTGCGCTTTTTTCTGGCTGGCAATTCATCTGCTTTCAACGGATCCATTGTTAAATTGTCCAACATATGCTCATTTGGGTGCACAAACTTTTCCGAAGAAGAATAATTATTGACAGTTGCCATTTGCTGATTTAACGCGTCATTGACAAATATCTCTTTTATGTTGGAATCAGAATAATCATTATTAATAGTTTCATATTTAGGTTCCAGTAAACTCGGTATAGATTCTATATCGCTTTCATCTTGTGAATGACTTCCAAGGGATATATAATCATTCATTTGAATATGCTGAAAGAATGAAGAAAATTTATTTTATTGTTTCATGTCTATCACTTCAAAAATCTCTATACATTTTCCATTTTTTGATTTCAAAACTGAAAAAACACAAAAAAACCAAAAAAAAAAAAATAACCTACCACATCCTCGACACTGTGCGCCGTCCGTCTTGGTTCTATTTTAGTTAAAAATTGCATTCCTAAATAAAATTCATAACCCGATTCATATTTATTGCCGGGATGCTTTTTTTCATACAGCACTGCCTTCCGTCGCTCCGTCTGTAAATATAAAATTAGTTTAATGATACAAAACTGGCATGCCTTTGTATATGTGCATGCTTGTATTTACATTAAATCTCGAGCGCAAATTATTCCAGTAATTTTTCGCGTCATTTACACTGTGCTTTGTAAGCTCGGCGATCTCTGCCCAAATTTTCTTCCTAATATCGCGATTTCTATATAATTCGGACTCGGGGTCCCATATAGCTGGTCTTGATGCTATAAAATCGATGAGCAGTTTTTGTTCATCGTGTGTCCAAACCTTTTCGAGCCTACGAAATCGTTTCCCAGTCGTTGCCGAACCGTTTGTTGACCTTTGTAAGCTGATGAGAGATTCAGTAATTATTTTATCATTGTTATCACTATTTTTCATTTACTTACAAACTATATCTACTCATTTTGATTGCCACACTAAAATGACCAAGTAAAAATCTTTGCCTTTTTGACACAACTCAATCAACCGTATATGTCAAAATAATGACTCAAAGTGACAGTGAACTGGTACGTTGACAGTAGAGTTGCATTTTGACATAGTATGGTTTTGACATTTCTACTATTGTACAATATCAATACAGAATTTTTTTTAATGTTTTACATTTTTTTAATTACCATTTCGACAAGATCTATTCAATATCTAATGTAATATAGATAGAGTTATCACTACCGCTGCATATGTACATACATATTTGACAGCATGTAATTGGGCTAAATTCAATTGTTCTTGCAGGAAGTCTACATAAGAGAACAGATTTCGTGAACTTATCAACCATATAGATGCACATGTGTACATATGTATGTACATATAATATATGCTACACTTTCATTAATATATCGCACAAAATAAAAAGAAACTTACAAATATACATTTTTTATATATTGCTTTATTAAAAACCAGTCTCACTTTAAGATATAAAATATTAAAAATGGGTTTTTAAGCATCTAATATGGAGCATATAATAACAGTTTATAAAATATATATACGTATATGTTTCTAGCATTTCAAAATACATAATGTATGCCCATATTTAAATACAAAGCACCAAATGTGGTATGTTGAATATCCTTTTATATCTCAGTCGTTGAATTTTGTCACTATCCGTAATGAATTAGTTCGGTTTAGCGTTATAATAATCGTTCATAGCGACATTGTGAGGACCGCCATAGAAGTCCAATACGAAAATATTTTCTATTTCCAGTTCGCATAAGTAGAAACTATGTGCTGAAAGATATATAAAATATATAATAAGAAAACAATATAATATTCATATTAATCTCTTGAGTCAAAAGTACTATCAATCATGTTTATATTTATTTAAAGAAAATTATTTACCTTTAATCCATTGTTTTGCAGCTGGGTGGCGAACGGTGAAAGCCTGCAACCAGTCGTTGTAATTCTTATCATTTTTGTCCAACTGTCAAATAAGCGATATATTTTCTTTTAGTAGTTCATAGAAGCAATTAAAATCGTTTTAATTTACCTCTTTAACTTTTCCGCTAATTATAGTACGTGGGCATGTCGGTTCCATTGGATCACGTCCATGATTTTTGCAATTCAAAGTTTGATCATCGGAGAATAGAAAAGTGACTTTATTTATATGCTTCCAGTCAGGACCAGTAAAATCCAAATCGGTTAGCAAGAAATGTATGCGTCCTGTGGATGAGCCATCCACAGCACTGTCATCCACAGATATTATGTTTACCATGGGATAGTCTGCAATTTTATCATTTGTAGATATGCTACCCACTGACGCCCAATCAGTTTTGTGCACCAAACTGCGGGCAACTGCAGCATGATCGGTTGTACGCAAATAACGTTTGTATTCTGCAATTGTGCGTGCATCTTCAAGCGCCGAATATGCTGCACAATAATTAAGCGTTATTATGGTTGCGAGGAAATATGTTAAGACACTGCTGATTGCTTTTGTCATGTTGTAGTCTATTTCTGGAATCCAACGATGTTTTTACGGTTTACCCGCCTTCAAGAGATTAAATTGTAGTAATAATAAAATTATATAAATATACACAAATAGGCGCTTTTACACATGCATTTAGGTTTGTGTGTAAAATGTATATAACATACATATTAAACCTTTAATTTCCATGTTGGGAACCACAATATTTTTATTTGTTTAAGCTTATCAAAGCAGACTGAGTTTTGCAGCAACAAAACGCATTTGCATCAAGATATACATATGTACATATGTATGTAATGGAATTTATTCGAATTCACGTATAAATAACTTTTGGGCTTAAAAATGATAATGAATGAATTTAAAATGTATTACAATTTCGCATTGCAATTGGAACAAATACAAATATTCCTATGTTTGTAAGTGTATATACATATATCCCCCTTAGAATAAAGAATTTTAAAGAGAAAGGCGCGATTCTCACGTACTATGTTTTGCCAAACTGTCAGCAGACTCAATTTTCGCATTATCAAAAACATTTGCGCAAATCATTATTCACAATTATATATATGGCATATAATTCACTTGAATGCAAACTGCGTCTTTCATAAAACTTTAACAACATACTTATGTTTAAATTGCACATTGTTAAATTTAATTATTGCGAAACTATTACTGCTACCAAATCTCTTTAAATTATTAGAGCACCTTTGTTTTTATTTTACCTCTTTAAGTATTAATTTTGTTGCTGTTAAACACTTCCACGATCCGTTCCGTTTTAGTTTTTGTTCTGCAATCAATTCCATTATAACAATGGTTAGCGTTTTTATACCAATAGCGATCTTTGTTCTCGGTGCGAATATTATCTGTCAGCTGATTTACTTATTTGTTTTTGAATTTTTTTCGCAACAAACAAAATGATTGCGCTGTTGCTTTGCGCTACTTCGCTATAGAAATCGTCAGGGTTGCAAATTGGTTGAATATTTAAACCATGAATTACTCGCAACGTGACGTGGTGAACACTGCGTGAGACGTATAAATTGATTGAAGTAAATTGTACTGTTAAAACTTTAAGTGAATATAAGGAACTTCTCTTGCTGTGGCAATTATAGCGTAATGGCTTACAAATACATTTTTGATTTGTATTAAATATTACATATTATTATATTTATCAAGTTATTTTTTATCACAATAGCGAAGTATTTACTTACAGCATTACAATAAATGGTGAATTTAACCATTAAAAAATAATTGTTTCTCTATTGGTTTCATTTGGAAATATTTATTTAGTGTATAATTAATAACGAATTTTTAAAAAATTAATAAATATGCATCTTTTTATTTTGGATAGCTAAATTATTACCAAATATTTTTAAAACTTGTTTTGAATGCGTTTTCTGTGCGTGATGTATTTATGAGCAATCACACCTAAATAACTCCAGCACTTGGGCAATGAGTACCCGCCTTTTAGCATCGTTATAAAAGCAATATATGACATCATGAATGGGATCCATGCACTTCAATATTTAAGATCGCAATTTATGCCGGCCTCTCAAACATGTTGACTGTCTGGTATATCGAAAAATTCAAGACAAAAAAAAAGTACAAACAAAAAACAAACTTCCAACGTACTTTTTGTAATTATTAACTAAACACTTTCATAAAACGACCTTTTCTCTGAAATGTTTACAAATATCTTGTAACCACTTGAATAATATGGAATCATTAACATATTTACAGTCGTGTCTCAACGTACTTATGTACTATTTTCTTTTCAATATGTTAATAGATATGTTCTACATAATTCTGATGACATTCTACATACATATTTTGTACTCGAGTATGCTTCTGATATATTCAATGTTATCTACTTCGGATTGAAGAACGACCATTGAAATGCTTGACAATGGAATTAGGTTGAGTGGCTGTTGTACTAAGCTTTCTTTAATAAATACTTACTACTAGTCTCTAACGAAGGCGGATATATGTACATAAATATGTATATAGTCGCACCCTGAACGCGCTTTTATGCTGTTATCTAAACAGCTGTTTTGCATATCAAGAATAATTTAGTTGCATTCGCGTACTTTTCCAGTAATCATACATATTTTTCCATTATCCATACATATAATTTACACAGAGTAGGAAACTATATGCTCTCAAAGAGAGTAATCTCTATATTAGTACAGTAATAGTTCGAAAAGAAAAAAATTGAAAATTTTGCTTGCAACTGATTTGAGTCATATTTTAATGAAGAAGAAGAATTATATAAATATGGAACGGAAACGGAATTGTTTTGATTGAATTTGATTACAAACTAAGGAGAGTTGACGAGGAATTTATTTTCTTGTTGTTTTCGCCATATCTGGTTTGAGTATAAATTTAATTTTTTTAATTTTTAAAACTTATTTATTCGTTAACAATCAGCTGTTTTCTTGCAGTCAAATTTTTTAAGACAATAATCGTGTTAAATATTTCATAAGATATATACAATTTAAATAACTCTTTGTTTCAATTATTCTCTACCAATAATCGTCTACTTTAAGTTTTTAAATATTTTTTTTATTTCATAAATTAAGTTATATGTGTACTAGTTTAATGCGAATGCCGAAACAATATATATATTTTATTTAATAGAAGTATTAAACTGCGCTGAAACTCTCTCTCAGCAAATCACATCTAAACTCTCTTCGTAAATGTTACTTCAAAACAACCGTTGAACCGACGGTTCAAAAGCTCATTTTTGGTAAAATAAATGTTCGAGTTTTTTTCAAATATACTGTTGTCTTTATATGCACTCATGCCTTGAAAAAAAAGTGGTTCCGCTCAGTTATTTGTATACTCAAACATTAATATATTAATTCTTACTATTCTTAAATGTCAATTTGAAAAATGTTTGCTGGGCTCTGGTTAGAATGGACTGAAACCACATGTACTTTCCATATAAATACAAGATACTCCAATTTAGTTTTTTCATTTTTATTATATAATCTATTTTGAGCTCTTTTTTATGAGTGTGGAGATAACCAGGGTTACAAATAATGCATATAAAGAAATAACATTTATATAAATTTTTTTTATTTTGTAATCCCGAAAATCTTAATTAAAACAAATTTAAAAATTTTTAACCACAAATACCGGATTAAAAAAAAATAATAATAATCCCCAAAACCGGATTGAAAACTAAAGTTTAGTCCCAAAATTTAATACAGGATTGAAAAACACTTTTTCTATCCCAAGCTTATAATTAATAGTTAACTTTAGAAAAGGAAAGTTTTTTTTAATAAAATCTATATAGTTTAGCAATTTTTGTCGTATTTACATATGTAGTTATATTTCACTGTTTTTAATTATAGTGTTTCATTCCAGTTTTTATTAAGAATAATATTTTTTTATCTGAAAATCCATTTTTCAAAATAAAAAATATTTTTTCAATTTTTAATCCATAATATATTTTTAATTTAAATTTTTTTATTTTTAAACTTAAACTCAATTTTCAGTTTTTATTCCTAAACATCTTGCATTAAATATAGAGATAAGATGGCGACATTCAACGACAGAAACGATAATTTGTTATCATAACCATTCTTTATGACGTCACGAACCAATTGTGTAATTCTGTCAAATGCTTTTCAAAATGTAACGGAAAAGTAAACTGTCGGTATCCCTATTTCTGTTTATGTTTGGACTGTTTAACTTACTACTTATTGATTATTTCTCAGGACTAAGAAAAATCGTTCTTAATCATTTTAAATATATTTTCTAATCAGGCTAGTAAGTTTTTGTGACATGGAAAAGTACCTTTTATATCTTATCTCTTTTGAATATTTAAATTTATTATTTATTATTATTTTTTTAATAAAAAAATTGAGGATTTAACATAAATGAAATTAATAATTTTGTTTACAAAATTAAAACTGTTTTTATAAAAAATTATAAGTTAAAGTAAATTTTGCAAAAAAACATATATTTAATTTAAATATACAATATATTTAACAAATATATTCAAAAGAAATTTTAGAAAATAAAATTAAATAAAATAAAGTTTATATTTAATAAAAATATTCAGAAAAATTATTAATAAAAAAAATTGTTTAATTAAATTACATAAAAAACTTTTTTCGTATATCTAATAATTTTTTCATTTATTTTAAAATTTTAATTGAATTTAATTTACAAATATAATAATTTAAAAAATATCATTTTAAATTTATTGTATCATAAATAATAGATTTTTTTTTACTTAATTTGACTACAATGTGACTAATAATGACTACACAATCAAAAACGTAATAAACAAAAAAGCATTAAAAATAATGGATTTATTAAGTGATTAAGGCTCTAACGAACAAAAAATATTTTTTGGTTCCAACATTTTTCTAATCACCCAAATAAGAAATATAATCAAAATAAATGCACTATATAGACTGGAATTAGATTAAAGAACTTTAAAATTACAAAATAGCTTCAATCCAACACAATAGAAGAACGCGCATGTTGCTGTATGTGAGTGAGTGATTGATAAAGAAAATTCATAAACCGTTTTATCTTTTTTTGTTTTGTGGTTGCATTCCTTCACTTTGATTTTGGTTTTGTTTTATTTTCAATTTCACGTTACTTTAGCATTGCCGATGAAGTTGCCGGCTGCCAGCAGGCAATTAATTTTAAATACATACTTGCATATGTGTGCGTGTGCGTAAATGTGCCTGCTGGATGCCCGCCTGCATTTAAATATGCGCAGACGATAGTTTTTTCAAATGTCTTCGCAGCGACAGCGAATGTGACTTCGGCGCCGACGTTGACGTTGACTTTGACTTTATCGTTCTCATCGCAGGCGGCAACAACATTAACTGTCTGCGTTTTCTTTTTCCCATACGCGCCGATCACACATCTGTTTTGTGCATGCTGCTGCGTTCACAACCACAAACACACACGTGCGTACTCGCTGGTGCATATGTACATTTGTATTCATAAATATTTGTGTGTGTCGTCTGTTCACAATCCATCTTATTCTACAATATATGCTTGGCAATGCGAGAAACTATTTTTTATAAAAATGCGACAGTGCGATTACAACAACAACTAGTGCACATTTATATTTACAAAAACATCGTTAGTTAATTTAAAGTTGGAAAAAGTGGGAAACATATTTACAAAAACAAAAATATGCATTTTTTTGTATGCTGTGCAGCGTAAGGTTTGCCTTATATGTATGTGTGTACATGCACTGATATGCTGGCTTTAATCTGGTCACTGAACTCTTAAAATTAAAAAAGAAAGTTCTTAAAAGTTGAATATAATCTATGATTATCTGTGCAGCGCTATTTTTTATGCCTACATAAAAGATAATACATTTTTTTTTGGTCACATGTAGGCGCTCATCGCTTTCGGTACATTCCAGCTGTTAAAAGTGCCAATATGATTTGCACTAAAAAATTTGGAAGCAAATTTTGTCGAGCGACGAGGTTAATTTTCCACAATCTTCCGGGCTTAATAAACAAATTGTCGTATTCGAGAACCATAAAACCGTACTGCACAACTAACAAGTCACTGCTTTTTAAAACATCGAGTGTCGGCTCACTGGTTTCATAGAGACGTGCCATGTTACAAATCAATACGAATCAAACTGCTTGGGGTATGCAACCAAATAATTCCCGGGATATGTCTAATGTCAAAAGTGAGTAGCATTCTCTAACCACTTAGATTTGCAGATTTGACTACCCTTACTTTCTTTATTTAATTAATTATTTTGTTAATTAAAATAAAGCATACTGAAATCATCGCAATCAACAATAAAGGCCGCCACTTCTTTGATATTGTACACAAAAACAAGAACAAAGAAATTTTCAAATCGTTTAACTTAATCAAAAATGTCTCAATCTAACATATATATACTATATACATATGTATATGTCGATAATAATTTTTTCTTCAAAGTTATTCAGTGTTTACACACCCACATAAAAGATGACACACCCGGTATATAAATAGTTGACGCCTAAATAGCCGCTGTGTCGCTTAAATACTAATGACATATTTTTTTTTTTTGCAAGGACGGTTTTTGAAATAGTTCGTAAGCAAATTAAAAAATCATTTGGGTCATTAATGCTTTTGTTTTTAGAACTTAAGGAACTTAAGAATAGCAAAGTCTGCGCTTATGTGAGATTCATCCGACAACATTTGTTTCAAAATAGGTGACAATATTCGAGAAAAAGAATATCCAATCGACCTTTTAAATTATTCTTTGTAGAGAAATTAATTGCATGCATTTCTGTTATCGATGGATTATTGTTCGAAAGCGAAATATTTTGGGTAAAAATTATTATTATGTGAAAGTTTCTTAGTGTGAAAACGTTTGCGATAATAAAGGTAAAAATTATTTCCAATGTGTTACAATTACTTGCCATTGACATCAGCAGTCTACATTTTCTAAGAAATAGCAGTTAGTGGCCAGATCGCGGTTTCTCGGATATAAATAACACCTGCTTCCTTCTTATCTACTAACTACCTTTGTGGTAGTTCTAAAAATCATCAATGCTTTAAATAAAAATTAGTAATATGTCAGCTTCTCGTAATGGCAGTCTAAATATCTACTTGTTCGAAATTACACTTGAGCGCTCGCAAACTGCTTCACTGTGTCTTTGCAGCCTCCGTTGCTACAGTTGCGACTGCGACGTCAACGTCAATCCTGTGAGTGATCGCACAAGTGTCTGAACAAACGAAAGCACTCTTTTAGAGGGCGGTGGACCGCCTGACTTACTAACTGGCTGGTTGGTCGGTTGTCTGACAACATTCAAGTGCTTGCGTACAGTGCGATTACTTTTAAGCGCACACATTTATTTAGATGTGTATGTGTCGCACATTAACGAGTCAGACAGAAATAAAAATCAAACACAGTTCAAATTCAAAACATTAATCTGGTTTATTTTGCATGCATATACTCGTAAGTATGTAATTATATGTACATATGAGTATATATATATAAGTATATATGAGTATGTTTGTATATACATATATATATTGGTTTGTGTGTAGTTTCGTTTATGACGTTTTTGCTTTTGTTTTACAAAAATGCGTGAGTGCCTTTCGGTTTTTGCTATTTTTGTAATTTCTACAGCCGCTGCGCTGCCGCTGTCAGTGTTGACGTCGCTGCTGTTGTAGCCGCTAGCGCTCAGTTCAAATGTATAAGATTTATTGAAGACTGCGCCTGTGACGCTGTTGTGACCTAGTGGTACCCAGCTGGCATTTGAAGTTTGAAAGTTTTCGTTTATGATTGCGCATTATATACTTATATGTATGCGTTGAAATATTGGCATTTTTTAAGAAAAAAAACTCAAAACTGTGAAATTTAAGTTTTCTGAATAAAGTCGGGACATTTTTTTAGGCAGATGATCGACAGTTTTTGGGAGGAATATTCTATTTGCTGTAAGGCAAAAACGACTTTCTCCGCTTTACTAGACAAGACTAACCCAAGGATTTCAAAAAACTATTTTCTCATCTCTAGTAGACAAGCACAAGTTAAATTCATCTTTTTCATGTAATGCTTTTAGGTTTAAAATTCAGGCTCAAAATTTCGAAAAATTAATTTCAAAACTTTGAAATTTAAATAATTTGAGTGAAGCCGGTACATTTTTTTTAGGCTACTGACCAAATATTTTTGGGAAACATGTTCTTACTGAATATTGTAACCCTGTAACGCCTAACTGAAATAGTTGATGTACGACGAAAACGACTTTCTCCACTCTAGTAGACAAGATTCTACTAGAGGATTTAAGAAATGTCCTCAAATGTGTAGTTAACAGACTTAAACTTAATGACCGTTCACTGTATTTCAGGTCAAGAAGATCGAGGAAAATGGAAGACTATCAGCACTAAATTATCAAATTAGGACAATCAATAAACTTTTCATTGGGAACGAGGGGGGTTATGGATTCCAGATCATATATGTAGGTATAGGAAATGTATAAAAGAGGAAATGTTTTGACAAACGCCGCATCAGTGCTTTTTCAAATTCAAATTCCAAATCCCTCAAATTCATCTTAAAGCAGTATTCCTTACAGGAAGGCGCTGCAAGTACGGAACGAACCAAAACTCAGAGCCGAAGAGACTATTAAATTGCCAGTTATGACAAGGCACTACCCCTGGAATTTCAAGCTCATAGGTGGTGCAGAACAGGCAAATGCAGTTTATACGCTGAGAAGTAAAAAGCTTGGCACTTTCACTTTATTGTGGTGAATATCCCCCAATTCCTATGAGCGTCCTATCTACCCAGCTCACATAAATTCATTTAATTAAATAGAAGAGAATCGCTAATTATTATTTTTTTGTTGATATTTTTAAGGGAGCATAATATACCTACTAATATGACTTCCTCAAATACTTATCAGAGTTAAAGGCGTTAAGGCCTCCAAGCAAATATTCCTTTGAGGACCTTCGAAGACATGATTGTATAGTTTTTTGAAAGAAGAGAAGAAATTTCTCCCAAAGTCCTTGCTTCTTCATTGAAATCTGGTTTTAAATCTAAAATTGAGAGTTTTATACACCATCGCTCCGACGAAAAACACGAAATCTGCATGCAATTAGTTTAAATCCTAATCATTGTTAGCTCTTTCGCTGTCCACAGTTCAATTACTCTTAAATGCCTGGGAAAAAATTTCAAAATTAGCTGTAGGCAATACTCGTACACACGCTATCATAGGCAACGGTACCAAAACATATTTTCTTTATTGGGTGCAAACAGCCGACGAAGTGCACGCTTTTTGGTCGGCTGTTCGTCTCGTGCATCCAATTTTTCAGTTGCAGCGCCGCAACAGCAACACGGCAGCAGCGCAACCGCAGCCGGCGATCGAACAGCTGCACAGAAATGCTCGGGCGCTCGACTATAACAATTTGCGATCAGCAAGCAAACGATTTAGTCGGTGTAACGCACTCGACGTGAGCAGACTAAACGTAAATAAACAATTTAGTTATAAAATATATGAATAACATTAAACACGAAGCCTAAATTAAAAGGATATAATAAAAGAAATCAATCTAAATCATCAGCAGTTTCCGGTGAAGACAAGCGGGCGGCACTAGGCGCACTTTCTACCTTAATTTCTGTCAACTTTATTGTTTGTTTTGTTATTGTTGTTCTACATTGAAAATCGCGTGTTTTTTTATGCGCAAACGTCGAGGAGACTGACAAGAACACGCCAGCTGCCAGTTGGCCATTGCAGCGCAGCACCATTCTAATTGACGTCTGCAGTGAAAAGTTGGCAAAAGCAGACCTCGGTGCACACAGATTTTCTTCGCAGATTTAGCACACATTTCCACACACAGAACCGCTAACAACGCTGCCGCCTGCTGTTATCGGCGACGACTTCCCATCCGCGCATTTTTTTGCAGCATTGTTGCTGTTGCTCTCGTTGTTGGCGTTGTGCGTAGGGCTGTAAAAATACCGAAGCGTCGGCGCTGTTAAGATCACATTCACATTTCTGTTGTTGTTGGTGTTATTGATCGTGCTATATAAAATCTTTTTATACGCGCCACTTATTTGTTGCTATTGTACGGGTGAATTTTCGCGAGCATCACAGACGAGCGGGTGCGACGACAACAACCAGTTGACCGCATTTGGCGCCAATGAAAAATTACAACAACAAAGTGGCGAACGCAAAACGTAAAGAAGGAAAATTCAGAGCGCGGTTCGCGTGATGCGTGAAAAGTGAAAGTGCAATGAAGTGTATTTTCTGATTAGTAAACAACAACAAAAGACAAATATAAAATCAATAAACAATAACAGTCTGAAACAAAAAAAAGTGAAAAAAAAATGTTCGGAAAAATAGAAAAAATTTGTATGTAATAAAAATTAACATTTAATAATACAACACAAAATATTTTTACGAAATTACCTAAAACAAAAATTCTTAACTTACCACTTTGTCAAGTCAAACAATCGTTAGTACGTTATAAACATCACAAAAAACAATATCAAAACAATGACGGCAAAACTGAAACCTGAATGCAATGAGAAGGCAAAGGAGACCATCACCGAAGAGAAGTTCAAAGATTTACTCACCGAACAGTTGGAACGTGTTGGCGCTGGCGGCGCATTTGTTTGGTAATTATTTTCTCCATTTTCTAATAAGTAGCAAAATATCTTTTACCCATTGTAAATACAAACAAAAATAACAACATACATATGTATGTGCGCAGAGCATGAAAATGTATCGATTCTCTTCCCTTCGGCTGTATACATATGTCAATCAATAATTTCGGCATTTCAAAATAAATTTCTTAAAAACAAGTGACACGAAAATAAATTAGAAGAAAAGTGCATCAGTTAATTCAAGGGCTCAAAAAAAAAATTAAATACGAATAAATGTCTATATATTATTTTTTAAAATATATAAGGAATTTTTTCGAAAATATAATAATGTGTTTAGATATCATCGATATGAAATATTTTTATTATTTAAAAACAATTCAAGTGTCAATAAAATTTTAATGTTATAAAAAATGTGGTATAAGTAGTAAATGTCAGTTTTTTTAAAAAATAAAAACTGCAGTATATACTCGTACAGTTCAATTTAAATGCTTTGGGGTTTTATTTGAGGTTCTCAAAGCGCTAAACACTGCAGATGTCGCATTTATTTTTGATCGGTGATAATAATATTGCATCCTTTGTGTTTCTGCTCGTGTTTGAGCTAAATTTTGAGGGCTTGTGTTGTCAATTGATGCCCTTTATTTTAGCGAACTCTTCGGCGAAATTAAATATAAAATCTAGTATGAAATTCAGAAATGGTTGTTCTTTATCTATAGGTTCGCGGCGATCCTTCCACATCAGAGATTGGAAAACGTTTATCCGTACACTAATTTTGTTATAAACCATCCTCAAAGTCATTGAAAATAATCGTTAAAAAGTGTTCATGAAAGAACTATATACTTTGGTTGGTGGTGGCCTTGGATAGACAATCTATTAGGCCTTCGAAATCGACTCTATTTGTTGGAAAAAGTCGTCTAAGCATCTAGCAGAGCAGAAAATGTCTATAACACACTTAATATCACATGTCTGATTACCACATTCCGTTCCCACGACAGTCTGGTCTACTTAACCGGAACGAACCCTTCTTTTTATTCGACCATGGATTTGGAACTCGGCAGCATTTCTCCAAATTTCCTCAGAGATGCTTTACGCCGCTACAACAACAGCAATACATCTGATAAAACTTTCTTCGTATGCTTATCATTAAAAATGTCAAACTTGATTATAAAGTTAACAAATGTGATAAAAAAAAGTTAGAAAACTAGTTAAGCCAAGTTTTCAAAGATACTAAAACGATTATGTTATATTACAACAGTCTAGTTATATTATTATACCCGGAACAGGGTATTTAAAGTTTGCTATGATATTTGCAACACGCAGAAAAAACGTCGGACACCCTATGAAATGATCAGCATGACAAGTTGAGTCGATTTAGCCACCAGTAACTCAGTTTTTGAGATATCGATTTGAAATTTTGAACACGTCCTTTTCGTCCCAAGAGGCTGAACATTTGTCGGAACCGCCGATATCGGAGCACTATAGCATATGACTGCCACACAAACTTAACGATTGGAATCAAGTGCTTATAGGGAAAACTTTTTCATTTAACCAGATATCTTCACAAAATTTGGCATTGGTTATTGTCTAAAATATTTCGTATGTTTAACACTTAATTTTCTCATATAAGAACATTTCAGTGTTATCGAAACAAAAAAACCAATGATTTATTTGGTGAACTGTCATTAATATTCGACGCATATGAGGCACATCTTATCTAGAAGACTTCTCTACTACTACTAATTGGCGCCAATAAATTTACATGCAACTATTTTTGTATTCCAAATACAAGTGTCTTTAGTTAACACTTTAGTACAAAATATAGTTGCGCCAATTCTTGCTATAAAATATATTTCACAAACGAAATTGACAACATTTTGAAAGAACATTGAATAGGCGAAATAAGTAGTCATTAAAAATTGTTGAATAAAATTCTGGCGGAAAAAAATTTGGCAAACACGTAAAACTGCACAATCCTTAGGCAAACTTCTAAAGTGTTATAACTAAAATTTGTTTGTTTTTTTAAGGAAAATGAAAATAATATAACTTGTTATAATAAAATGTTTAAAATATTAATCAAAAATTTTAGTTAATAAATATGTGTTACTTGGCATAAAATAATAATTTTTCGCTTGAGTCATTTTAGTAACATCAAAGATGTTCCTAGTGAAAATATAATTTCGATTTATGTCTTTTCAACCGTTTGCTTGAAGAATTAGTTAAATGTACGAGTAGTTTGCACATATGTATAACATATGTAGTACATAATATATATGTATATTAGTAGTGTCTACATATTCATGTTCTTTCACAAATGAGCTTCCGAAAGCTTTTAAAATGCAAACGTATCGAGTTGAATATGCGCAAACAGACGTGTAAGAATGCAATTATGAATGAAATGATCAAATAAAAAAAAAGCGTTTGTAAACGTTTAGTAACGAGAAAAATATTATTTGTAATAAAACATATTTACGTTTCCATCATATGTCACACTTGACGGACTCTTCGGTAATATTTTGAGGCCATAGTTTTGTTAAAAAACCATTATTTGCAACAAAAAAATTATAAGCAAAGGTGGGCTTTTTTTATATTACGGGATTTGACAACCCTAGTGTTGCAATCTGGCAACTCACAACTTTATCGTAAAGTTTGACATTGTAACTTAAAATATTCATCTCAGCCAAAAATGGAACTAAATCGCGAACATTTTCGCGCGATTATTTTTTACAACTTTCGACGTGGATTACCTCAGCAACAGTGCTTCGTTGAACTTAATTAAATTTTTACTACTTCTCTCATATTTAGATATTACTTCGAACATAGTACGAGTATCGACGTAGAGTTTGAGGTTAGAAAATTTTCCAACGGAATAGTAAAAACATTGTATAATGAAAATAGATTATGTGGATTTTTTATTTTTAATTTGAATCTAAATTAGTATTATTACTTTATATAATACATCTACTAATCCATATTTGTAACCATGTTGCATGGTGAAATGAATTTTCGCAACTTTACAACTTACTAATACATATTCAAATAAGTAAAATAAATAAATGGAATAATTTGTAATTAAATTGAATTGAACAACCACTGCTTTATTTTTTCGCGAGCAGCCGGTAAATTGTCCATAAAAACGTAATTGCTTAATTAAAATATAATATAATCTCTCAATATTATACAATCTCCCTATTTCTTTCAAAATTATTAAATTAAATTAAATTATTTTTGAACTACATTGTATAATTATTTGTATTTCGCATTATTATTATTATCACAAACAAAAATTTGCTTCCAAATTATACATAGTAATAACATATTCAAATAAATAATTATTAATTAAGTTGTTTTGGATAACAGCTCTTATTTACATGTCGACTGCTTTTAAATTTTTCTCTAAAAAACACAAAATTTATACGAAATAATCTCGACTATATTACTAGTATCGACGTAGGGGGTAGAGAATAGGAAATTTGACCTAAAGGTGTTTCCAACTTTCGTCACATTATCCATGAAAACGTAATTGCTTAATTAGAATACAATAGCTCCAATTTTTGGAAAATTTTTACTGTATAATTAACTACATGTGTATATATACGTTGCACCCCAAAAAATTCCACTTTATTTATAATAATTAAAATTGAAAATGTTTACTATTTTTATCACAAACAATGAATTATTGCCAAATCGTACGTAGTAATAACATTTTCATATAACTAACAGAAAAAGACGTTAACTTCGGTGCAACCTCTCCTTCAAAATACAAAATATACCATACAAGCACTTGATTCCGATCATTCAACTACTCGATTCCGATCGTTCAGTTTGTAGAACAACTATATACTATAGTGATCCGATAGGCAATAGTTCATACCAAATTTCTTGAACACATCTTCTTAGGGAGAGTTCTTAGAGAGAAAAAGTCGGGTGCAAAATTTCAGATCGACATCTCGAAAATACGGAAAGACGAACATAGCTAAAACGACGCAACTCGTCACGCTTATCATTTATATATAAATACTTGACAGGGTCGCTGGCGGTTCCTTTTGGGCATTACAAACATCATGACAAACTTAATATATGTACCCTATTCAGGGTCTACAAATTATAAAAATATAGTACTAGTATTGGCTTAAAGAACGAGGTTCGAAAATTATAACATGTTCAAATAAATAAAAGTGATAAATACTAATTTAAATTCATGCATAACTGTAATTTACTTGTCAACAGCACTAAACTGTACATACTAAAAAGCGGAAATTTCAGTTTCACATCAATCTCTAAATCTAATTAACGAAATACGTTTATCATACATTACAAATCTATTACACCATCTACTTGTATTACTATTTTCGAGTAAAAAACTGCATCTATTATTCGCTAAAAACGAATATTCATTCACCGCCTTTTTCCCATAGGAGTAAATCAAATAATCGGATAAGATCATGAATCAGACGACTAATATATTATATAATACGTATCAAGTCGGTATACACATTTATAAGTGAAAATAAAGCGTTCTGCAATTGGAGCTGATCCAATGCGAATGTACAACAATATTCAAAGTATTATATCTGAACAATCGGTTTTTGGGATCCATGTGCATAGATTTTACGCGCACTTCTTATACACAAGTCAATTAGAATTATAAGTTGCTTCTAATTATGGAATTTTTCAGCTGATTATTTTAATAAAGAATCTCATATTTAATTTTTGAGAGCACGCAAAATATTTCTTTAGATTTTTTATTTTACCGAAATAAATTGGTTTTTATTTTAATGCAATCACAGCCAATAGAAATACATAATGTTAAACTGACACATTATATAAGCATTCTACACATATAAACGTCACATATTGTTACTTGAAACACCCTGTCATATATTAACGTATACTTTGTGTTTCATTATTTTCCGATTGAACGATTTCATTTTAAAAACACATAAATTACATACTCTCATCAACAATAATGAAATCAATGCGGAAGAAAGTGTAAAAATGGGGAAACGTTAGCTTAG